ATTCACGTAAGGCGGATCCGCAATCCAATCCAAACCAAACCAAACCAAACCCAACCGGAACCAAACCAGAACCAAACCAAACCAATCCAAACCAATCCAATCCAATCCAAACCAATCCAAATCGGCTTATTAAAAAAAGCTTCACGTAAGGCGGATCCGCAATCCAATCCAATCCAATCCAATCCAAACCAATCCAAACCAATCCAATCCAATCCAAACCAATCCAAATCGGCTTATTAAAAAAAGCTTCACGTAAGGCGGATCCGCAATCCAATCCAATCCAATCCAATCCAAACCAATCCAAACCAATCCAATCCAATCCAAACCAATCCAAATCGGCTTATTAAAAAAAACTTCACGTAAGGCGGATCCGCAATCCAATCCAATCCAATCCAATCCAAACCAATCCAAACCAATCCAATCCAATCCAAACAAATCCAAATCGGCTTAATTATTAAAAAAAAACTTCACGTAAGGCGGATCCGCAATCTAATCCAATCCAAATCCAATCCAAACCAATCCAAACCGATCCAATCCAATCCAAACCAAACCAAATCGGCTTATTAAAAAAAAAATCACGTAAGGCGGATCCGCAATCCAATCCAATCCAATCCAAACCAAACCAAACCAAACCCAACCGGAACCAAACCAGAACCAAACCAAACCAATCCAAACCAATCCAATCCAATCCAAACCAATCCAAATCGGCTTATTAAAAAAAACTTCACGTAAGGCGGATCCGCAATCCAATCCAATCCAATCCAATCCAAACCAAAACATAACCAAACCAATCCAATCCAAACCAAACCAAATCGGCTGATAAAAAAAACTTCACGTAAGGCGGATCCGGGGGGGGGGGGCGCAAAGGGGGCCATGCCCCCCCCCCCCAAACGAAACCAATTTTTTTTTCGGTGTGACATCGCAATAAAGGCAGGCAATGAGTGCACCACCATCTTTTCCTAAAAAAAATTGGGGTCAGAAATTGTCCAGATCGCACCACAGAGCATCTAGAATCCAAACCCAAACCAAACCAAACCAACCCAACCGGAACCAAACCAAACCAAACCAAACCAAACCAAACCAATCCAATCCAATCCAATCCAATCCAAACCAATCCAAACCAATCCAATCCAATCCAATCCAATCCAATCCAATCCAAACCAAACCAAACCAAACCAATCTAAACCAATCCAATCCAATCCAAACCAAACCAAATCGGCTGATAAAAAAACTTCACGTAAGGCGGATCCGCAATCCAATCCAATCCAATCCAATCCAATCCAAACCAATCCAAACCAAACCAATCCAATCCAAACCAAACCAAATCGGCTGATAAAAAAAACTTCACGTAAGGCGGATCCGGGGGGGGGGGGGGCCCAAAGGGGCCATGCCCCCCCCAAACGAAACCAATTTTTTTGTTGATGTGACATCGCAATAAAGGCAGGCAATGAGTACACCACCATCTTTTCCTCAAAAAAAATTGGGGTCAGAAATTGCCTCGTCAGATCGCACCACAGAGCATCCAAACCCAAACCAAACCAAACCAAACCCAACCGGAACCAAACCAAACCAAACCAAACCAAACCAAACCAAACCAATCCAATCCAATCCAATCCAATCCAATCCAAACCAAACCAAACCAAACCAATCCAAACCAAACCAATCCAATCCAATCCAAACCAAACCAAACCAAACCAAACCAAACCAAACCCAACCCAACCCAACCCAACCCAACCCAAACCAAACCAAACCAATCCAATCCAATCCAATCCAATCTAATCCAATTCGGCTGATAAAAAAAACTTCACGGAAGGGCGGATCGGGGGGGGGGGGGGGGGGGAGCCAAAGGGGGCCATCCCCCCCCCCCCAAAAAAACGAAACCAATTTGTTGTTTTTTGATGTGACAATCCAATAAAGGCAGGCAATGAGTACACCACCATCTTTTCCTCAAAACAATTGGTGTCAGAAATTGCCTCAGATCGCACCACAGAGCATCTAGAATCCAAAAAAAATTCGGGGCCCTTAAGCGGGCCCCGAACCCCACGCCGTAATTTTTTTGACCCACTTTTTTGGGGGACCAAATTTTTGGGGGGCCCCAAAAAATTGTGTTCTGGATCCGCCCTTGTTCACGTACCGTGTACATCAAGGCCAAGCGCGGTTTACACGGGCCACATCAATAGACCGATCAAGTAAGCACCACCCCATGGTGTTCTGACCAATCACAGCCGTGATTTATGTCCGACGTGCGTGCACTATTAAAGTCCGACATGCGTGCACGCACGTATGATGCGCGCGGAAGGAAAATGCAGCGTGGCATTGGGCGGAGCACGTGTTAATTTGCCCACGTGCGCACTGGGCGGAGCTTACTGGATACCGGTTCGTTAGTGTGACGTCACCTCCGGCACTTTCTGCACCGTTTGGAACCGGAAGTTAACGCAGTTTGAGCGTTTGCAGCCAATGGGCGCTAGTAATCAGTGGTGCGTGCGCGTGTATGACGTTTTTACTAACGAGCCGGATAGGAATCGCATGACCGACTGGTCCAAAGCACCAAACTTGGCAGATCGATAGCCCTGGCCCCTATTTAAAGAAGATATCGGAAGAAGCATAGATGGAAGAAGTGACACCTGAAATTATTTTGGGAAGGATGCATAATTCATTTTCGTTTAATTTTGGTAGGCCTGTATTTATATGTTTCACTTTTTTTTAAAATTGAAACCTATATTTCGGGGATTCTAACCTTGCTTCAAAAACACTTTCTAAAGTATGTGAATGGATGCTTCGTCGCGTCAGTGCAATCGTATGCAACTCCATATTCTGCAACAATTAAGTCGTACCTTGCAATGGCTGCAAATGATGGACAGTAGCTTTAAGGGTGTCGGGGGTGCTGAAACACACGGGCTTTTGCTTCAAATGGAAGGGAGCTGATGAGACGTGTGGGTATTAACGTTGCATCATCGCATACAGAAATCATGCAACTGCTTGGTATGGAGCAATGAATAAAAATTGCCAATTAATACTGAGTGATGACGCTATTCAGGAAATTTAATAAAATTTGTTTTTTTCTTCACTAGTCTCTTTAAAAAATTCTTTCATTTGTCAATTCGTCGTCGTTCGTATGATATACTTCCGTACCAAAATCACACGGGAATATGTCTAATTTTTGCAGCCACATGGCTGTATCTTCATCAAGCTCGAAGATATGAATTAGAGTGGAAGCCGTACGCAGATTGCTTTAATAGCCACCGTAACCACGCCTTGGATCCGCCCCGCTTCTCGTTAATATCCTAGCTACCAGTGAATAAGCACGAACCATCATAGAGCACATTGACTACTTTGCGTTGGCCCATTACGAAAATAGTCCAACCTCAACCCCCTCCCTACCCACTCCAACCCGGCACCGTCTCTCCCCCAACCCCCCACCGCACACAAATCAAACTTCAAGAGAGTCTGAGATCGGTTGCCAAGGCATCGTGCACAATATTTACTCCGCAGGGTTGTTTATATATGGCGTTACCATACCAACAGCCCAAATATAACCTCAGCCAACAGTTAATAATTTGGCCCAATGTTTTGGCTCATGCGCCTGCTCGTATTGTATACGCCTGTTGATTACCGTAAAAAGATCTTTCCCCTTATCTCGCATTGACTGCTATTTTGCTCATATAAAAGTACAGATTGTGTTATTAAAATTGGGCTCGGTGCACAAGTACTGATAGTCCCTTTGAAGAATATCTGATCCAAACCTGAGGTTTGTTGACTGCACCCGAGGCGACGAAACGAAAGAAATTGGATCTGAGCCAGCCGAACCAGGACAAATGTTTACTTATAGCACTTCTTTTTTTTTTAAATTCACCTAACTGTATCCGCAAACCCTTAAGTGTTTATTGGTTTATACTGAGTTTATTACTGCATGGTATGTGATCATAAATGTTTCATTCCCAGAATTATTGTATTCAGTTGTAAAACGAATGTCAGTTACTGAAAACATGTTCGCAAGGCCGTAGAGGCCTAAAGGTGCTCCGCCGGCAAGCCTTTCCAAATTCGAATCGCTTAAGTTTTTTTCCCCGCAGGTCATGGCAGCTTAATTGTTTCTCAATTAAGATAGAAAACAAGAAACAGCAATGATATCAAGGTTTTGAAGAAAGCTAAGTCTTCTTATTATTGATTAACACTGATCATCTCACTTTACAGTCTTCGAAAATGACTCCAAGTGGTATTGATGTGGACCTTTTGCGAGATAATTTCGACCAGCCCGGAGTGCCCCTTTAAAACGCCGGTGATTTGAGAACTCCAGCTGGTCGGATCGTAGTAATAATAAGTCAGAAGTCCTTAGCAACGGTTACTGTTTGGGTGTTGTTTTGGCAGTGAGCTGACACCCAATGCCACCAGCCGCGCCACGTGGCCGATTGGATGACCCTGCTAAGCCCCGCGAAGTAATAAGACACCGTTCTGTAGTACCAAGGTGACGCCCAATTGGTCGCAAACCAGAGCCCAATGGCTCAAGCGCGCTTGCCACCCAAGATGATGAGATCCTGAGAGAAATTATTATGAAATGATGACAATCTCCGAGGAGCTCAGCATCTTTGATGGCACGTACAGTGCTCCGTAGCTTGCAGACTCATCAGTGACCAATAATTTAAATTATTCAGAGAATCGAAACGGGCCTCCCTTTGCCTTCGAAAAACAAAATCAGTCAGGATTATGGTCGGGACACATTGAATTCCAACTGAAAACAAATCTGTGAAATAGTTTGCCTTTTTATTTATAATTTCTGGAGGTAAAATGAAATGATAATAATATACTATAAGTAGCCGTTTGTATTTGTTCTAGGGCATAGGGCTACAGTCTGATATCTAAATGGTGAGATCCGGCATTGTGTTCAAAGCAATTAAGACGAACAATAATATTATGTGACCAGCAACTGCAGACTTGGGTAGAGTCTACACATACAGTTTTGACGCGGTCCTTTCGCAGCGGTGTGACAACTTTGGGCTTCCGACATCGTCGATTCCTGCGCTTTCCGCGCGCCTTGTCACAATCGCATTTCTGCACGTGTTACGGATATTTACATCTAGTCTAGGACATTCTTTTTGTGTGAATTAAAGAGAGTTACGGACACCAATATAGCTGGAAATCAATAAGGTAGACTAAAGCAACGCAATATCTTGTAACTGGGAGAATAATTCTCGAGATATTCGCGGACTGCGTGTGAGTTTTGACGAGATATAGTTCAGAATTCTTAGCTTCCGAAGTCGTACGTCTTCACTCAGCGCGGCACCTAGTCCCTGGCAACGACGTGCCGGGCTAAGTGGGTGATCATTCTTGGGATCCTGCCAACTTCAAGGAAAAACCAACTCTTCAAAAATATCTCCGGATGGATTGCAACAGCTGACTGACTGAGGGTACTGCTTCCAACTTTCACTGATTTATCAGAATTTCAAAATCGTACTATCTCTGGTGCTGGCGAGTTTTTACTTTCATCTTATTATAGCATAGAGCAATTAAGGAACAGTTCCCTGCTCATAGTGCCATTCGTTCGGCATATTGTTCGAATTTGGGCGAGAAATAATCAGTTCGCACTCGGGCCAAAGCGTTGAAATCCACGTCAGTAATTTGAAAAGTTGCCCGTTGACTATAATCAGTTTAAAAAAATTTGAAAAAAAACACACCAAACAACGGTACGTTGTTCTCACGATCAGTGACTTTAATTGGTGGCCAGGATTGACGAGCGTACATGTTGCATCCGAACAGGCCAATTCTACCGCAAAACAAGGAAAGTTTTATAACTAGCCTGCTACAGTTACTAGAGGAATTAGGAACAGTCAGAAACAATTTTTCGCTCAGAAACTACGCTCGCCACTTATTTACAATGACGATGGTGTCTACGGTGAACAAACTTCGGCTGCCTGTGTTGACCGTCGTGCTGAGCGTCTGCCTCGTAGCACGGCCCGCCAACTCGCAGACCTCGACCGCCGCTCCTGGTACAATTACAACGCTTGCTGCTGGTGGAGATGCTACCGGTCCGACTGATGCAGTGACCCCTGGGACTGGTGGAGGTGGTGAGTATTCATCCAAAAGTTGAACTATCAAATGTAGCATTCAGTACTGGACCTCAAACAATATCGGATAATGGAGTCCACGATTGGGTTGGTGCCCACGCGGTTAGAAATCATGTACATGTCCGGTAGGTTTTTCCCTCAAAGCTAAACTTTAAACAATAAAAAGACGATAGCCTAGGTCCACGGTTGAAGGTGCTGCAATACATATGTTGGTTATACATGTGCTTGTATTCAGTGGACCTCGAACAATTATTATTGGCAGTAAGGTCGACGATGGACTGAGGTCCACGGTTGGAAATCTCGTGCAAAAACCACTGGACTTCTTCACAAAAAGTGTATACATGTAGCACTCAATATAGTGGACCTCGAACAATAGAGGACAGTCGAGTACATGATTGTGCAAAGGTCCACAGTTGGAAACCGTGTACAAAAACCAAAGGCAATGGGGTTCCTAACAAAAGCGTGGACTTCGAACAATATGGCAATGGAATCCACGATTGGGTTGAGGAAGTTCTTCACAAAAAGTGTTTAGCACTCAATATAGTGGACCTCGAACAATAGAGAGGACAGTCGGGTACATGATTGTGCAAAGGTCCACAGTTGGAAACCGTGTACAAAAAACAAAGGCAATGGGGTTCCTAACAAAAGCGTGGGCCTCGAACAATATGACAATGGAATCCACGATTGGGTTGAGGTCCATTGTTAGAATTCATGTACAAAACCGATGGGGGTTCTTCACAAAACTTTAAAATTCAATAAACAAATAAAGAGCAGTCGACCTTGAATAATGTTGGGGCATGATCGAGTCGGGTACACGATTTGAAATTGTATAGATATACATGTACAAAACCAAATGAAGTCCTCCTAAAACGTTACAAAAGAAGGACAATAACTCGCTTGTTTACACACGGTGAGGTGTTGGGAGAAGCCATCAATCCACAGTTGGAGTCCTCGCATGTCCGCCGCGATTCAATTTTAAGTGAACTTAAACAATTGCATGCCTGAACCTCTGTCCTTGTTTAAACATTGTGGCCGTACTTGTGATCTGATACACGATACCCTCTGGAAACATATGCAAAAGATTATATACGTCTCCACAGGGCAATTTCTATAGGTCTCCACAAGGTTTTCACGAAATAGATACATGCATATGGATTTTGCTCAAAAACTAGGAATTTCCAAGGTGTGTTGATTTGTCGCAAATTGAAGTATCTTATTTAAGGGATATTAAGTCCGAATTTCATCAGCCCAGGAAATTAATTCTGGTTAAAATAGGAGCATTTTGAAAGTACACTTTCAAACTCGAACTTGAACTTTAGTACACGAGAACAAAGAAATGTCTCCACAAGGAAACAAATTTCAGTATGGTTGTTTTGACTTGTGAATAATGTTCATGGACCAGACTAGTACAAGTTTACCAAAAACGAGAAATGCCATCGGTGCTTGATTGCAGGTTGTTCGTTGTATTGCTTTCTGAAACATACTCCTTTTCAGTTCGGGATTGTGGAGGTCGAAAGTTCCAATCCAGTTTGGAGTCCAACTAATAATTTGATTTACCGTTTACTTTTATTTTTTAAAGAATGATTCACCTTTGGCTAGGCCGACATCTGGGATTTTTTTACTTCGGGAGTTTTGATCTTTATGTTGGATACCGCTGCACCATTCATATGTGCATGCTCCCTGTGTTCTTGAAAGGTGAATTTTCCGATTATGGAATTAACATTTGAAAAAAAACCACTGAAAATTGTAATTTTTTTCAAAGGTACGGGGACTGGGATGACTGACATCGTAACTGATGCTCCAGCTACACCCGATCCGGCCCTGCTCCCGAACAACATAACTACCATCAGTAGTAGTAACAACACCGAACCCGCCGCTGAGGGCGGGCTCACCGAAACCCAGAAAATCATCGTCATCGCCGTCTGCGCAGGCGCGGGAGGACTCCTGCTGATCGTGGTCGTCGCTAGCCTGGCCTATGTCAAGGTCCGGAACAACAAGCGCCGGAGGGTGAGGGTCACTACCACAGGGCCCCAAGCCCAGGCTACTGGCAACACCAACGAGAGCGACCGGCAGGTCTTGGACGCTTAATGATGCATAGGCCTACAGCTGGCTCGTTTTTAGAAAACTCGTCCTCGTCTGCGGTGCGGCTATAGGTTTCCTAAGCTGAAGCCGCGGCTTACAAATGTAGGTTTCCTAAGCCGCCTTGTTTCGTTTGATTGTTGTTGCTTTTCGTTTTACGGCAAAATTCTTGCCTTCAGATTCGCGGCAGCCCTGAATTTTGAGTGTTGGTATGTATAGTAGGGATCTAAGCAGTGTTTTTAAAGTAGAGATTTTGCCGTGCTGTTAATTCTGGGTTTTTATACGCAAAATATCGGATATGAATAACAATGATAAAATACATGGGTGAGCGAACGATATTGTAAATGATTCCCGCGGTATTTTGTTTTCATCGAGGGAAAACACAGGGTTGTGTTTCCGACGAGGAAAGAACCGTTCTTTTTTTGAGATAGGGAAAGCCAGGAATAGGGAACAGTGACCCAGACAAAAAATAAATTAAGCCAATGAATATTTTCGGCAGGGGCACCATTGACAAAAATCTAAATTTCACGATACAACCTGCCATACACATGAGGAATACAAACATTTTGTTTTTAATTCAAACTTGAAGACAACAACCTTTTAAAGGGGGGGGGGGGGAGGGGGCGGAGAACTTGGGGGAGGGATGTGACCATTGCCCCCTTTCCCGCCATCACATTTAGTATGGTGATCGTTGCCGATCAATTGTTATCAAGATTTCTTTTTAATTCGAAATTTCCAAATTTTGTTTTTTAATTTATGATGATGATGCTGTGCTTAAATTTAGATTGACATGAAAATAAAGCAAGATTTTGAACCATGAAATGGAACAGGTAATAGTGATGCTTGAGATTATTAACTTAAGATGGGATGTGAGGGGTTGGGTACGAAATGTGATGGGGTATGTGGTGCGGGTTGATAGGGTACGGTCAGGATGGGGTGGGAGATGGGTGGGTATTGGGTGGTGATGGGTTAATAGGGTATGGATGGGTGTGGGTGTGAAGGGGTATGTGGTGCGGGTTGATGGGGTCAGGGATGGGGTGAGAGATGGGTGGGTTTTGGGTGGTGATGGGTTCATATGGTATGGATGGGTGTGGGTGTGAAGGGGTATGTGGTGCGGGTTGATGGGGTCAGGGATGGGGTGGAGAGTGGTAAGGGATCGGGGTGTTGCGGGAGGGGGGGGTGGAAGGGCCGGTATATGGGTTGAGGATGTCTGTGGGTGTAGAATGGGGTGGGTGTTGATAGGTGGGGATGATGCTTGGATGGATGGGGGATTGAGTGGCACAGTGTTGAGGATCAAGTTGCTGGGTTGGGGTGGGGGATGCCGGTTGTTTGGGGTGCAGGGATGGATTGGGATGGGCGAAGTTGGATGGGATTGAAGCTGGAATGGGGCTGGGAAGGGGAGTGTGGGGTGAGGTGTCATGGGGCATGACTCCCTGGGGTGGGGATGAGGAAGAGACAGGTGGGGAATAGGATGGGTATCTGGTGGGAGGCTGAGTGGTACGGGTGGAGGATGTTGCCTGGGGTTCGCGTGAGGGGCGGGGTAAGATGAATGGACCGCGATGGATTCGAGTGGGTTGGGATGGCGCTAGGGTGCAGGGGTTGGGATGGCGCTAGGACAGGGTGGGGATGCCGCTAGGATGGGGTGGGGAAATGGACTGGGGATGGTGTGGGTGTGGGCTGTTGCCAGGATGTGGTGCAGGATAGAGTGGGGTTCGAACCCAACTGGATCTAAATCATTATGCTTCACATTGACACTTCAAATCAAATCAACTCCACGCAACTATTATTTCTAGTGTGACACACGTTTTTATTAAGCAAAGTGCGTTTAACTGTAAGACAACAACGCTGCACATTCGTACCTCAGGAGAAACTGGGGGGGGGGGGGGGGGGGGGGGGGGGGGGGGGGGGGGGGGTAAACGGAGATTTGAATTGCATGAGATAACGGCGCATTCCACCACACTATGATCGCGGTCCCCACTTGATCTTTTCAAGATTCACGAGTTTGAAGAGAGGGCGAAAAAAACATATTTTCAAAATTTTTGATTTTGATAAAATAAATTCAAATGTGTGCTTTTCAACCTGATGCGTTAATCGACAGTGTTTTGAATGGACCTCAAATCGACTCAAAACTGCAATTTTTGCTAAAAAGGCCTGACGCCGCCAATTTACACATATATCCTGGAAATTAGTGATTTCAATATACAGTCAAATCATACCCAAAGACGAATGTGCACCCTTGTTTTACCTCCAATTCCACACATACATTTCTTGAAAAGTAAGAGCTAAGCACACATAACCAATGATTACTACAGTTCAATGGCATTTCGGTTTTTTGGGATTCTCACCTTTTGGTCGAAAAAAATATATATATCACACCCCAATAAACACAGTCGATTAGGGTGAGGGGGGGGGGGCAAAATAATGGGGGATTTAAAAAAAAAATAGAAGGGGACTTTTTTGTCAGTGGCAGCACAACCCTCATTCGCATTATTTGCATCCATCCAGGAAAATATGGCTTCACATGCACAAACTAAAATTTGTATCCTTGTGGAGACATTTCTTTGTTCTCGTGTACTAATGTTTTCTAGTTTGAAAGTACAGTTTCAAAATGATCTTATTTTAACCAGAATTAATTTCCTTGGCTGAAATTCGGAATATCCCTTTTCTAAAACTCTACCATTTGCGACGGATCAACATACCTTGGAAATTCCTAGTTTTTGAGTAAAATCCATGTAATACATATCTTTTTCGTGAAAACCTTTGTGGAGACGTATATAATCTTTTGTTCCCTATTGTGTGTATGTCTCCAGAGGGCACGGTGTATCAGATCCCTCAAGCATGATATCGAAATCTATTCATTTAAAAAGCAAACCAGGATCTTTCAGCAAGATGATTGGATTTAAAATAATAATAAAGCCAAACAGAAACTCAAACGCCTGCAGTAACTCATGATTTTCACGCGGGATCTAGGGCCGAATGGGGTATTTTGTGAAAGGGGGCCGTGTCGAATAAGATGTATGTGTGAAACTGGAGTGATAATTATGATGTCAGTCTAAACCGCATTGTCATTATACATACTGTTAATGTTTGGCTTGAGATTGCGATGAGTAATCTGTGCATCTCATTTCCAAGTAAGGGTGGGATTTGAATTTAGTCATTTTGTGCGGGCAAAAATATACGGCACATACACTAATTTTCAGACAGGGATTTCATAGTTAAACTGAAAAAAAGTAAATTAAAGAGAGTATACCAGTCAACTAAAAGGCTTTAGACCGAGGAATTTGGCAATTTCGGAAAATTTTGAAATATGGTGGAGTCATTGGATTTGATTGGACGGGATGAGGATGACGTCACGAGAAGTTCCGACAAAACTATCGGTGATTGGCTGCCCGAATGAAAGATCGTACGCAGAGCCATAAAAGCATTTCAGCCAATCACGGGGCTCGATTGAAACGAGACATTTGGGACAACTGGCCAATGGGAAAGTGTTTCACTTCCGGCAAATGCAAACGATGGTGTGATTGGACTGTGTGCTTCTGCTGTCATGACAACGCGGTTGAAACTAACGCGTTTTGTTTTAATATACAGTTTAATATACATTTACACAATAGCAGCGTGCTCTGAAATTATCACGTGATAAATATACAATATATTAAATATACAATCTGCAATAAACGTATCAGCTAATTGATAAATACTTCAGCACAAAAATAAATGATTTAAGAATAAAATTCTAACTTCAGGCACTTAACATTTACAGTAGAATTGTTTTGAAAATACAATAAAATGATATGCACGCTAAAATCACGGTTGTCATATCTCTGAAGCCTCTTATAGATAGAAACGGGAAATAATTTTAAGTGGCATGAATTTTTACAAGGAAAATGTCAGACATTTTCCTTGTCAAATTGTAAGCTACTTCATATACTCTCCTTATTCAAGCATAGCGTCATCCGGTGTTTTTTCTCACACAAGTGTTTTAAAAGGGTCTTATTGAATTTCGTGATCTTTTCAAGAAAAAAAATACAAGAAAGGGAATTAATAAAAAACAAATTAAAACAGGGGTGTGAGTGACCACAGATGGAAATAGCTCAAAAAAGTGTAAAAAAGCTGAACTTTGGAAATCTCCTATACTTTTGTACACAACAAGTGAGGGAAAAAAACTGAATCCAAAACAAAAATAGCTGAAATCAGTTTTAAAGCTGAGATTTCACACCCCTGTTAATAACAAAGAGAAATCTTTAAAAAAATTGTAAACATAATTTTCAACTGCAGTATGACAATTAAACTGCCAATTAATTTTTTTTTTTATTCATGGAAACCGTGTCCTTTTTTTCAGCCTCTTTCTAATTCTACCTATAATGACCGCAGAGAAATGACACACGCCCTCACTACGTCATTAGTTGTTATATTTTTGTTACCCGCTTCTACCGAAAATGTACTTTACTGCAAGAAATATACTCCACGAACTATTTTATACAACATGACACCACAAATCGTGGCAGATAAATACACGTACGTGATTTTTTTTTGAGTGACGAGAGTTCACAACCGCCATTTCTCTACCCACTTCACTAACCCAGAACTTTCATTTCAATCAATGCCACAACTTTTGAGAACCGTTCCAAATATAAATTCTCTTCTGTCATTGGTCAGGTCCCAATGTGTAAACAACTTTCATCCAATCAGATTCTATGGCATTTATTTGGCTCTTATACATTTCTGTCAGCCATTGGTCAACTTAAAAAACATTAAAAACGATCGACCAATCACACACTTTGATAATACATTGCCAGATTCCTCCGTGGATACTCGATTCTTCATCGTCCAATCAAACACGGCTACACACAAATTCTTACGCCAACATTATCCCTCTTATCATTCAATATGATTGGACAGTTTAGCAGCAAGTCAGCCTATTCAAGAGACCCTGTAAAAATGTAGATTTGTGTTTCTATCCAAAACCATTAACGTATTGTGTATTGCATTTTGTTAATGCTTTTCGTATCACTATATCTTGGCTATACCATATCAAAATCTTCAGCCAACTTTTGCCAATCTTTTGTAAAGACAAATTTTGCTAAATCATATGTTTCTCTGATGAAAAATTGACACATTATAAAGACAAGATATAAAACTCAAACGGTGCGTTGTATCAAAGGCAATACGAAGTTAAAACGTGTAAAATATTATACACATATTATTTTAGCAGCATATTCCTTATATTTCTAAAGTGCGAATTATTGCTTTGTTCGAATTCAAATTTCCATAAAATGTGCAAAAGTTCACAGCGTGATCACAACAAATTCACACATTTATTTAAAATATTTATAAGTGCAAGGTGGTTTTTTTTTTTAAAGTAACTGGCATATGTTTATGCAGGCACAGCTTCGGTCTACCGCTGAAAATGGTGTTCATAAAAATGAAAAAAAAAATGAAAAAAAAAAACCCAAAAAAACAAAAAAACAAAAAAAAATGAGTTACGGTTGGTTAAAACCACACTGAACAAAAAAAAATAAATAAATAAAAGTCGAATGAACAATTTGCATATCAGAAAATTTGGGGTAATTTTTTATAATGCATTTGCGTAGAAGGTAATGTGAGCATATTAATTGTGAAAATCATGCATAAAAGTGCATAGAAGTGCAATTTTAAATTGTGTGCGACTAATTTTGTGAGCAAAAAGAACACAAAGTTTTAATATTGTTATTACTAAGCTGCATATCCTATGCTCTTAACTTTACATCTGTGTGTGCATCGAGTGAGGAATGTTTTTTTGTTGATCTTAATTTTCCCCAAATTAAGATGACGCTTCATGGATTTGAAAATTCAGAACTAGAAAATGAAATGTTGCCAAGATGTAAGTGGGACGGGGACCTTTTTTTGTAACAGATCTCATATGGAACCTAACGGACTGCCCTAATTTTTGTGTCTATAAAACAAAACAAAATAACTTTTACGATGTTTTCTTTAAAAAACAAAATAGTATAACAAACAGACTGGAAACAATTTTTGAAAAGTCTGAATGACTACACTAAAAAAGTATCTGTCAAGTGAATAGAAATTTAACTTAAATTCGATTATCTATGACTTTTATTTTGTGAAATTGTAACATTAATTGTTCCTTAAAATTGGTTTGATTGTATTTTTGGGGTATACAAATTTAAAAATGTACAAAATAAATATGCAGATTATTATGAAGGATCAAAGTAGGCCTTTCAAAAAAAAATTAAAACAAATTAATTCTCAGATTTGCTGGGTTTTTTTCTGGCTTGGTGGGAATTCATGATTATTTTTTTTGGAAAAAAAGGGATGAGCAAAGGATTTGCAGCTCAATTTTAACATTTCCACACATTTCTCACTGCTAAACTGTAACACTAAGTCCACAAAAAAAACAATTCAACTTTACTTCCAAAACGATTTAAAATTTAAGACTGTGAAACATTAGATCCTTTGCATGAGATTTCGTTGTTCTTTGAAAGGGATCATCAATGGGGCATATTAGCTAGATACAAATATGTGAAAACTTTTTAACATGATCAATGGTCTAAATTTATTTGTAGGAATTTTTTTCAAAATATTACGACGAATCAATTATTCATAAGATAGAATTGTGCGTCGGGGTGATGTAAATCAAATTAGGTTTTGCCCTTCACCGACGTATAAACACTGTATACTCAGATGAATCAAGTTCAGCTAGTTTCCCTCAACCCCTGAGCTCATTGGGTACAGACTGTCAAAAAAGGGCGCTTTATACTGTACATCGGTAAAAATTAAGTTTGGAATTAAATTATCTCGAAAATCATTCAATTTTGGATAAAATTTGATTGTCATCTTCTTCACAGTACATTGACATGGCAGGGGCTAAGTTAGCTGGATTAAGGAAATCCATTTTCAATTTTAATGACGGATTTTTATTCGTTTTTGTTGGATTAAGTAATAATCCAGTTCGTTAACTTACCAGTTATTGACACCTAGTCAGTTTCCCTTGGTGGTTCATTAAAAGTTTATGGCTTCGGACTAGCGACCCTTGAAAAAAGATAATGACAAATTGGGGAACCGCCAGTTCATGGCTGGATATCTCGGTTAGTAGAGCACAGGAACGGTTATCCGGAGGTCGCAGGTTCAAACCCTGCTCAAGTCAATTTTTTTGCCGGACTTTTCAAAAGCGGTTATTAACAAGTGAGGGTTTAACTCAAGTTGATAAACCATTATCCAGGACGCTCTTACCATAACCCATATCCAGGACGCTCTTACCATAACCCAGCCTCTACTAGTGATTGGATTATGATAATCCGGGGATTATCTGGCCGGGCCTTAATCCTTGGGGTTAACTTTCTTGTTCTTGCTGACCTTGAGGACCATGAACACGATGAGGACGACGATGACCAACAAGGCCAGGACGCCCACGATGATTCCGGCCACCGCTGCCACTGTCAGACCTGGAGACGGAAGGGGAGAGAAAACCCGAGAAACATGCCGGTCAGGGGTAGTATACATGGGTGTAGCTGGGGTGGGGTGGGGGGGTGGGGGTGTGGGGGTGTGCGACACCCCCATTAACCATTTATTTTCAAAGGTAAGACCTAGGTGTGGTAGGGGAAAGAAAACCGAAGAAAACTGCTGGTCAGGGGTAGTATACACGGGGTGGGGGAGGGGGTGGAGGTGGGAATGGGGGATTGGGGTGGGGGGGGAAGTGACACCAACCCACTAATTGTTTGTGTGCAACAGTCAGACCGAGGGATATAGGAGGGGAAAGAAACCCTGAGAAACTTGCCGATAAGGGGCATATACACAGGCGTCACTGGCGTTGAGTTTGTTTCTGCATTCAATCATGATTCAATAAGCCTCTGTACTGATGACGTCACACTTTGTTTACTATGGTGCTCAGTGGACCGTGGGCCCCCACTGGCTCCATAGGAAAGTGCACATGTAAACAAAGTGTGATGTCATCAGTACAGAGGCTTATAGGGGGTGTTGAACAATAGAGGAGAATAGGGTCCCTAATTCCCAAAGGTCCCCAATTTGGCGTTGTGTACAAAACATATGGGAGGTCTTCCTAAAAGGTTCAAGTACAAACAAAAGAGGGGCAATAGGGGTCCCCGATTGCAGGCAAATACACACTTGTGTGGGTTTGTTTATGGTGTAAATGGAGGACACGCATGTGAAACATCATCAAGTAATTGAGGACAGGTGTCAAATCAAGGTCGTCTATTGGCGGCGGGTTATTGTGGCGGCGGGTTGTCGCATATCCAACCATAACAACGTCTAGCCCCTAGACTAGAATGAGAGTAATCAAAAGTGCACAAATTTGAAATCGGGACAACACTGTATTTTTGTTGAAGATATAAACAATTGCGCTACTTACCAGCAATAGGAACTATCGTGCCTGGAAGACAAGGGGGAAAAAAATGAAATGAATAAATATAAGTGTGAATATCTTTTCATTCAAGTTGTTGTCAGGGAAAATCCATGTTTTAAAGGTATAGAGTATATCATTTGTCCTTTGTGCTTTTTTGTTTTGTTTGTTTAAAGCTACAAAAGTGCTCAAAATCTAAGTAAGGGTGCTCAACAACTAACCTGATGAAGTTTTAGCTCAGTGAATGCTGTATATTCAGAGAAAACAATATTCTATGATCTCAATTCAAAATTTGCCGAGTCATGTTTGGAATTGGGCCCGAAATCAGCGTACGGGACACGTTCTCATTCACTTAATTGCAGCTGCTTAATGTCTAGCACTGACCTGACGAATTATAGCAACCAGGCGCATGTGTGTCGTGTCAATGCTTGCGCACACCCATTCACGGCTTCACAGAATTAAAACCAAACTACTAACAGAAATTTCCAAAAATGTGTCTTTAGACGCATCTTTGGAACTGGCCTTCTTTTATTGTTTTCTTCGAAATGACAGCGTGTCGGAAAGACTAATTTCACAGTGAGTTGAGTGCCATTACAATCTTTAAACCAAGAACGCTTTTGAACAATAATTCTGTCAGTTACTTTTTGGATAGCTGCAAACGAAATACCCTACTTTTAAACTGTCTTATCATGGTATTTATGACATCCAAATATAAATTCTATTGGAAGCACTGACACTGTTACATTGTTGTGCATTTGTGAAGAACCATCACTAAAACTAAATCGGTGATACAAAATCAGTTTCAGAAAGCACTGACTTTACCTTTATTTGGGTCAACCACTGGATTTTTTTTAAAAGTAAACAGAAAAAGAAAAGAATATAAAACAAACAAATGAATTCCCCAACAAAACTGTGAACAGATTAATTTTTGTCATATCTGCTGATTTTTTTTTTTTTTTATGTACGTGTCTATTAGTGGCATATCCATCATTTCTCAAATTCAGTTTATAACCCAATAGTACTAAGTTGTATATTACATACTGTTTATTCAGAGAATTTTTTTAAAAACTATTTTGTGCGCGGGCGATACACGGAGTAACAGGCAGGGCGGTTTGGGGCAGTACAGGGAGTAACAGGCAGGGTGGTTTGGGGCAGTACAGGGAGTAACAGGCAGGGTGGTTTGGGGCAGTACAGGGAGTAACAGGCAGGGAGGTTTGGGGCAGTACAGGGAGTAACAGGAAGGGTGGTTTGGGGCAGTACAGGGAGTAACAGGCAGGGCGGTTTGGGGCAGTACAGGGAGTAACAGGCAGGGTGGTTTGGGGTAGTACAGGGAGTAACAGGCAGGGCGGTTTGGGGCAGTACAGGGAGTAACAGGCAGGGTGGTTTGGGGCGGTATATACAGGGAGTAACAGGCAGGGTGGTTTGGGGCAGTACAGGGAGTAACAGGCAGGGTGGTTTGGGGCAGTACAGGGAGTAACAGGCAGGGTGGTTTGGGGCAGTACAGGGAGTAACAGGCAGGGTGGTTTGGGGCAGTACAGGGAGTAACGGGCAGGGTGGTTTGGGGCAGTACAGGGAGTAACAAGCAGGGTGGTTTGGGGCAGTACAGGGAGTAACAAGCAGGGTGGTTTGGGGCAGTACAGGGAGTAACAGGCAGGGTGGTTTGGGGCAGTGTAGGGAGTAACAGGCAGGGTGGTTTGGGGTGGTACAGGGAGTAACAGGCAGGGTGGTTTGGGGCGGTATATACAGGGAGTAACAGGCAGGATGGTTTGGGGCAGTACAGGGAGTAACAGGCAGGGTGGTTTGGGGCAGTGCAGGGAGTAACAGGCAGAGTGGTTTGGGGCAGTACAGGAAGTAACAGGCAGGGTGGTTTGGGGCAGTGCAGGGAGTAACAGGCAGGGTGGTTTGGGGCAGTGCAGGGAGCAACAGGCAGGGCGGTTTGGGGCAGTACAGGGAGTAACAGGCAGGGTGGTTTGGGGCAGTACAGGGAGTAACAGGCAGGGTGGTTTGGGGCAGTACAGGGAGTAACAGGCAGGGTGGTTTGGGGCAGCACAGGGAGTAACAGGCAGGGTGGTTTGGGGCAGTACAGGGAGTAACAGGCAGGGCGGTTTGAAGCAGTACAGGGAGTAACAGGCAGGGCGGTTTGGAGCAGTGCAGGGAGTAACAGGCAGGGTGGTTTGGAGCAGTGCAGGGAGTAACAGGAAGGGTGGTTTGGGGCAGTACAGGGAGGAACAGGCAGGGTGGTTTGGGTCAGTACAGGGAGTAACAGGCAGGGCGGTTTGGGGCAGTACAGGGAGTAACAGGCAGGGTGGTTTGGAGCAGTGCAGGGAGTAACAGGCAGGGTGGTTTGGGGCAGTACAGGGAGGAACAGGCAGGGTGGTTTGGGGCAGTACAGGGAGTAACAGGCAGGGTGGTTTAGGGCAGTACAGGGAGTAACAGGCAGGGTGGTTTAGGGCGGTACAGGGAGTAACAGGCAGGGCAGTTTGGGGCAGTACAGGGAGTAACAGGCAGGGTAGTTTAGGGCAGCACAGGGAGTAACAGGCAGGGCAGTTTGGGGTAGTACAGGGAGTAATAGGTAGCGCGGTTTGAGGCGGTACAGGGATAATGGGTTCAAGTACACAGTGCACACTAAACATACCTCCTCCGTTGTTCACGTCGCCCGCAATGGCAAAGTCGGTGAGATGGCTGGTCTGGCAGGTCACGGCATCGCCCGCCCGTGCTTGCTTTGTCGTCAGACCCTTCTTACTCCACATCTTGTCGCCATCGTCGTAGTACAGGCAGATGTGTTTGCCATCTATCTGCGGGAACGTGATCTCGATGGGATCCGGTATGTCCACAACATTATAGGCGACTCCTGGTGAAAGATCGAAGGCTTCATTAGAGGCCATGTCTGAACTGAACCTAGCCTTACGGTATCTATGGGGTCCGCGCAGAAGTACCCCCTTGACGGTGAGAAAGGGAGAGTTGGGGGAGACCACTGGGGGAGATGTTCGAACCTAGTGCTAAAGACGTTATGGCTTCTGTGCAAAGATGTCATGGCAATAAACTTGCGTTGAAAACACAATGCGTTCAACTCTTGCAAATTTAACTACCAAAGCTGACTTAATAATAATAATAATAACAGTGGATATTTATAAAGCGCACGTATCCACCAGGTACTGGCGGTCACGGCGCTACATCGTAATTACCCCTGCTCATTGGGCCCATGAAACATTCCAAATACCATCTCAGCTCCCTGGGGAGTACACAGCTCGATGCAGCCTGTTAAGCGCAAGGAAGCTAATTCAATCACATTAACCATCTCTGCCCTCACAGCTAGGTACCCATTTACTCCTAGGTGGAGAGAAGCAATGAGCGACAAAGTGCCTTGCCCAAGGGCACACGCACCAAGACCCATTCACTGGGTTATCGAAAGTGAGCGCCCTCTCATGTTTGCGCACTGAGCCAAAATACATACCAATATTTTTACCCCTCGGAAGTACTACCCTTGCACGCCTTGCAACACAGCCAGGAAAAGACCAACACCAACGATGAATGGAAAACACTAGGTTACTGAACTTTCTTTTTTGACGCCTACAAAACTTGCAGACGCCAACAGGACGTGCAGAGTGAATTTGCCATCACAGAACACTCACTGGCGTTGAAAACAAATGCGTTCAACTCCTGCGAAATTAACTACGTGAAAAGCTGACGTTACAAATTTGCATTCGCGTTCAGTATAAACAAGCCCTTAGGCTTGCATAAAAACCAAACTCCACAGATATTCGGAACAAATTTAAAGATGACGATGTTTCTTTTGGCATCTCTAAATATTGGTCATGACAAACTGTCCTCTTTTGTTTGAGAGTGGGAAGGGGTGGGGCCTTTTTTGGGGGGTGGGGCCTTTTTTTTTGGGGGGGGGCGGGGGGGGGGGTGATCAGGTCACATACCATTCTCGTCCTGCATGGTGATGGAGCGTATCGGTCCAGATAACGGTTGTGTCCTGCTGGTTTCGCTGTTGAAGTCCTCAGTGTCGTCATATTCCTCGACGTTCAGCGTTACGCTGGTACCGATGTGTCTGAAAAAAAAAAAAAAAATGTTTACACATTTTAAAAATTACGTTCACCATGATACTTTCAGTTTCATCCGAGAAAAAAAAGGCCTTTTCTAAATTGCTTTTTGTCAAGCAATACAACAGTTATTCACTTTTGAATGTGACATTGACCAAAAAAACCCTTAAATCAGCCCATGTTTAGCTATTTAATTGTTAACAGACTTTGCATAATGGCCGGTTTTGAATAGGGGCCCCTGTTTTAGAAGATGGTACCAGCCCCCCCCCCCCTTCCCCCCACCCCCATTTGATTTTATGGAGGCCAAGTGTCCGGTGAAAAAAACGTGTTGACATTTCAGCACAGGTGTCCCCCCCCCCCCCCCCCCCCCCCCCCAAAAAAAATGCTGGATACGCATCTGCTGGACCAACAGAAGATGCCGTTTACCGACCAAGTGCCCCTTTTCGGTGATCCCCCCCCCCCCAGTCTGAAATCCGTTCCGCCGTCAGTGGTCACGAATAAAAGTGGAAGACATGGTGTTTCCGCAAACCTAACATCCATAAACAAGATTTTTACGCCCCAGAATAAAGTCGAAGCTGATTACGAAACCAGTGTTTGAAAAAATGGCCTGATTTGTGAATCAAAGGCTGTGTTTGAATTCGGGCGATTCAAAATGCAGTGCGCCACCAAGAGTTTGCCACGGAGAGTTCATTTTTCCCAGTGCATTGTTGGAGATGTTCGACAGTGCAGGATATTTGAAATTGTTAGTTTTTCCTGTCAGCAGTTTTGTATAAAACGTGTGATTCAAGTATCTGTTTGCCCTTTTCTTTTCTTTTTATCAATATGGTGTTTTTTTGTAAGGTGGCAGAACGCTATGCCCAATCTATAACAAATGTGATGCGATCAAGCTACATAAGTCGTTTGTTGACCCGGTCAAAAACATTTTTATTACAGATTTGAAAAGAGCACAATCTCAGCATTACTGCTGTGAAAACCGCATGCTGGTACCATCTTTAGTTCCAAAATTTTGGAAGTCGGAGCACCAAGAGATGTGATGAAGTGATGTGATGAAGTGGCCCTATTTTGGCCTGTATCTCCAAATGAAAATTCCCGACAAACGACTCATGTAGCTTAATTGCATCACAAATTAGCTCAAGTTGTCTACTGACACTCATTCAAATGGGCCATGTTTTGTCGACCGTCAACATGAGAAATGGACTCTCCATGGCAAACTCTTGGTGGCGCACTGCATTGTGAAACGCCCGAATTATTGACTACGGCTGGAAATTTCACACGTGTCTATGTGAAGTGGCTGCAGCCGCTGCCATAGACACGTGTGTTATTTATAGCCGTAGCCATGCAATCTGGACGCGGCCTTACTCGAGGGATGGAGGGAACTTGAGCATGGTGGTGCCAGCCTGGATAGCTTGGGAGGCTTGCAGGGTGAGTCTCTTGATGTGCACGGTGCTGCGGCCCGTCGGGGTGGTGATGCTGTCTCCCTCCGCCAGCCCACGACCAGCGTGTGTGGTGATTTGTCTTATCATTGTCCTTGAAATAGTATTAAAATTCAACAATTAATATGAGTGTCAAAGGTAGGATAGGGCGTCAAGGGGTATGTCAAGGTACAACAGTTTGCATTTTCTTTATGAGAAGGAGAGCGCAGAGAATCTGGGTTCTTTGGAGTTAATGAATTTTGGAATGGGTGGAGCTGGGATCAGTTGGATTGGGATGGGTTGGGTAATGGTTATAGGTTGGGATGGGTTGGGTTGGAGTTGGGGTTGGGTTGGAGTTGGGGTGGTTTATGTTGTTTTGGGTTGGGCTGGGTTGGGTTAAAATTGTTTGTATTGGGTTAGGATTGTTTGTATTGAGTTGGGTTGGGTTGAGTTGGGATGGGTTAGGCTGGGTTGGGCTGGGATGGGATGGGTTGGGTTGGGTTGGGATGGGTTAGGATGGGTTGGGATGGGTTATGTTACGTTGTGGTGGGTTGGGATGGATTAGGTTGGGCTGGGATGGGATGGGTTGGGTTGGGTTGGGATGGGTTGGGTTGGGTTGGGTTGGGATGGATTAGGTTGTGCTGAGATGGGATGGATTGGGTTGGGTAAGGTTGGGTTGGGATGGATTAGGTTGGGCTGGGATGGGATGGGTTGGGTTGGGATGGATTAGGTTGGGCTGGGATGGGATGGGTTGGGTTGGGTTGGGATGGGTTAGGCTAGGTTGGGATGGGGTTGGGTTGGGATATGTTATGTTGTGGTGGGTTGGGTGAATTAGGTTGGGCTGGGATGGGATGGGTTGGGTTGGGTTGGGTTGGGTTGGGATATGGGTTAGGCTGGGTTGGGTTGGGTTGGGTTGGGATGGGTTATGTTATGTTGTGGTGGGTTGGGATGGATTAGGTTGTGCTGGGTTGGGTTGGGTTGGGTTGGGTTAGGTTGGGTTGGGATGGGTTGATTTGAATTTGGTTGGGTTGAGTTGGGTTGGGTTGGATAGGGTTGTGCGTGGTTTGGTTGGGTTGTGTTGGGTTAGTTCTAGCTTGGGCTACGGTAAGATGGGTTGGGCTCGGCTGGGCTGTACTGGGCTGATCTGGGCTAACATAAGCTGAGATAGGGCTTTACAATGTGCAAGGCAGGACCAAGTTGGGTTGTGTCAGGCCAGACTAGGCCAAGCCAGGGTTCTGACCTGCATCTGCGGATGAGGTCCCTGCTCTCCTGCGTGTCTGGTGTCAGATCCATCATCACCTCTCCGATCTTCTTCAAGATGCTGTCTCTTGCATCCCCGTCAAACTCCTCCGGATTCAGCTCCAGGTAGGAAGTTAACATCGTCTGGATGTTGTCCACTGCATCAACTGTACACAAGGGGAAAGTTACTTCAATCATTGAGCATTAAATTCAAGAAACCCCAGACACTTATCCCAAATGAATTTTAATTTTCAGCTTTTTTTTTTTTTTTTTTTTTTAAACAAGGCATATCTGGGCCTTAATAGCTAGGAACATTATTAATTAATAGAGCTTCACGATGCATCGACGAAAAAAAGGTGGAACATTTTCAAATGGAATTCTAAATGATTTGGCAAAATATTACCCTTCTGGGAAAATTGTGTAATGATGTACTTATGCGTCAAAAAAGACATGTCCTACTTTTGATTATAAATAACTCTGTTGTTTACCGATGGAATTAAATCAAAATTTCAGATCATGTAAACAAGGCATGACAAATTGTATTGAGCGAGTTTCATCAGTTTTGTGCAAGAGGGTGAGATTACATAATACCTTTTTTGTGAAGCAATTATGCCCCCCCCTCAAAAAAAAAATAATACAAATCAACTTTACGTTTAGCTTCCATTTCTTCCACGAGGAAAGAATCCAAGTCGACCGCGACGGAGTCCCACTGCGAGACGTCCAAGTTGGGGAAATCGGACGTGGCGTTGAGGAAGAACGCATGGTGCCTGTCGCGGGCTTCTTCGTAGGCGCCGCGCCGGCGACGCCTGCCGGTGCTGTCTGCGGGACCGTACTTGACCAGCATGCCGTTCTGGTGCACGGCGCCGACAAAATCCCCTAGAGTTAGAATCACAAGAAGAGGGTAGAAGGCAGCAATGTAAGGAATTGAATTGGGAGTGATCGCCTCTTTCTTCTAATATGGTCACAAAGAAGCTTCGCTAAAGTGAACCATTAAAGGGAATGTACAACATTTGCCTTTGCTGCAATTTTCAAAAATAAATGGATTTGGAGGTTTAGTATGTAATAGCACATATTATTAAACTGACTTGTTTCACGTTTTGGGCTTGTAGATGCTGGAAAAACCAATCATGTTCTTGAAGTCTAGTTCCCTGACCCACTTACGATGAAACGGAGCAATTGATAGACTTTGGGAATTGATAGACTTTGGGAAAAGGCTTGTACCCCATGTGTAATCAATTGCAAAGAAAATGTGGGATAACTAAATATGAAAAATTAAGGAGCGGTTTTTGAAAAAAGCCAGTTTTTCCAACGCGGCCGACCAGCATTTTGAAAAATACAATTTTTCTTGAAAATGTCAGCACACAAGGAGCCACGATTTTACAGGATGCTTAAGACTGTCATTCCCTAGCAATCCAGTAAGGTATTTCGTGGTAATTTGACTATTTCGTTTTTTGGATGTTTGCAAATGTGGTATCTTCCCTTTAAGATAAAGATTTACGGTAGCACGATGTGACAAATCTCTTTAATGAGTTTGTTTCGGACAGTATGCTCTACTCATTGTCAGGAGGCTGAAGGGATTCCAATGATGAAGGGAGGTTATGTGCAGGGTGGATAAAAAAACAAAACACGAAACCGAGATGTTATTGCTAATTGGAACAGAAGTAGGGCACATGTGAATCAAAGGGAGATATCCTCTGTTAGGGTTGAATCTCCTCTTGAAAATGACACCCTGATCATGTCCTAACATTCACGGTTGACAGAGCAGTGACCAATTTTATGAAAGGGTCTATTTAGAGTCTTGCGCCACTTTTTATGGTGAAATCAGATGAGACAATTGACACAACAAAAACCACAATTGAAAAGTGGCGCAAGCCCGAGGGGGACCAAATTATGCCAGTCCATATGTGTTTTATAACTCACCTCTGTCCAAAATATAAAATAAGATAAGAAACCTTTCAGGGTTTTATTATTGACCTGTTTTAATTCAACAGTTAACTCGTAAGCAATTCAACTGTAAGCAATTCAACAATTATTGGAAGAACGCTTTTAGTTTCTTTTTTAGTTAGATTACATTTTTGAGTTTGAGTTTTGTCAGAAGGTGCTGTTACCAGTCAAAAATTGTTGAGTATAGTGCCCGATCAGACACTATACTCTGAAAATTATGCGCACGCGATGTCTATAGTTCAACGTGCGTCTAGTTCACGCAGACGCAAGTTTCATGCACTAGCCTATATTAGTGAATCACACGTGACCGCGTTTCAGCCAACCAGGATAAAGAACAAGCAAGAGGTGTGTTATAAAGATTATTATGTATTTCCCATTAGGCCGTAATTAGGAACTATTCACTACCTTTCTGGACCGATTCCATTCTTGCGTTCTTCACTGCCTGAATGCCTTGCTCCGTAGCCTCCTTGACCTGCGCTATACCCTCCTGAGAGACAACCTGGCAGCTGCGGGTCTCGTCACACACCTAAATACACACGACGAAAACAAACAATTGTCGGTGATTTAAACACCATTACTCCTTGTTATAAAATTTGTGACAAACTCCAGGAAAAGGTGACATAAGTCGTGAAAAATAAACTTCAAGTTATATGCACGACTGGAAAGCCCACAATGTAAGCTTTCATTTGGTCTATGACACAGCTCTATAGCCCTTCTCGTTGTGGAGATATGACAAATTTGCATATTAATTTAATTCCATGGAGTTCAAATTACACAACTGAGAAAACAGACTTTGATATAGTTGGCCCTGTTTTAATAGATTTGGGCATGAAAAGCTCACTTTTAATATCTTAGCAACCAACATGTTTCTGTTTTACGATCACTTTTAAACTTTGGATATTGATTCAACAATGATTATTTTCAATGATGTTTTGGAAAAAGAGACTTTTTAAAACCAGATTACAATCTTTTGGCTAATTTGCATATTGATTAAAATTATAGTTTTTGGATGTAAAATAAAGAGAACAATTTACACAAAATAAGGTTATTTTTCCCCTTTATTCATCGAAATCAACATTTCTGTGAATGAATCCTTAAACATTAGGTATCAAAGATGTCATTTAAGACAAAAAAAGGAATTCGGATTTTGACCGAAAATTTCACCCTCTCAACGTTCAGCAGGCCATTACACGTAAAGGCATAGCGCGACTTATATCACCTTTTCCTAAAGCGGGTTGCATTTATTATCTAAAGCTCTGGACACCATGAATATGCATAACGCAGTGACAGTGTCTTCTTTTGATACTGTCCGATCTCGTTTGGGAAAAAAAAATTTGCCGCCCGGCCTGGCACTTACCTTTACTATGATGGCGACTGTCGCGGCATCAGGTACTTCCACGGCTCGGTCTTGGTTCAGCCTGGACTGGTCACTGGCCGACGTCGTCAGTACCTGACGTTTTTTGGAATCGGCTGAGGGGGCCACGAATGCCTTGTAGCTCAGCTGGCCTTCTCCCATGCAGCCCACGACATTGATGTCAATCTGAAAAACAGAGAGATACTGATATTTTTAAAGTATACGTTCATCATTTGTAATTTGTGCATTTTGTTCGTTTGAAGCAACAAAAGTGCTCAAAATCTAAAGAAGGGCGCTGGACAACTAACCTGATGAAGTTTCAGCTCAGCTTCAGCTGTATATTTCCAGAAAACAACATTCTAGGATCTCGATTTCAAATCAAAAGTTGCTGAATCATGTTTTGAATTGGGCCTGAATTCAGCGTCCGAGACACGTTCTCACTGAGCCGATTGCAGCTACGTGATGCCGTGCACCGATCCGACAAATTATATAGCCACTGCGCGCGTATGTGTCGTGTCAACGCTTGTGCGCACTTCACCGAATAACAAAAAAACTACTAACGGAAATTTCCAACGGTGCTTCTTAAGACGCACCGTTGGAAAGGCCTTCTTTCGTTGATTTCTTCCAAATGACAGCTTGCCAGAAAGAATAATTTCACAGGGAGTTTAGTCCCCTTACTATCTTTCAACCAAGAATGTTTTGAACAATAATTACGCCAGTCACTTTTGGGATAGCTACAAATGATGGACTCTGGCTTTAAGCTTTTCCCAAATTTTGTTTGCTTCTTGGACCCACACTGAAAGCAAAAACATGCCAACCCTTAGTTTTGTGTCATTTAAAACACATGTAGATCGAAAATATTGGCAATAAAGGGTGCTGTAAAGTTAAGTGTGGTTATACAATTAGCCAATGCGATGTGTGTACTCATTGCGAACCAGTACCTGATTTCAAGAAGTGCTGCGACGCATTGCAACCCGAGTTACGTGTAACACGCCGCAACTCGCGACGAGTCGTATGATAAATTTTACAAAAATTGCTATGATGTGTTGAACGCGTGGTAAGCTCCTTGACATATTTGTCAAAGAAATTTGATTCGTTTTTCACATCTAAAAATTCAAATTTAGTGGCACTCATTGTGAGGCTAGAGTATTAAAAGTAAAGATTTTATAACTCAAAAAAAAAATAGTTTATAAAAAAAAGGGATTAAAGCTAGCTGGTGTATATTATTTACTGTTTGCCTAAGTTCCAACATATTACTATCAATACTAGTTTTACTGCCATAGTATGCTGATGTTATTTCACGGTTACGAAAAACGAGGCTGTACGTACGATTTCAAAAACTCGGTACTCTGTGCTGATAAGTTGCAGCTCGCATCCTGTGACGCCTTTGTAAATGGTGATGGTCGTAGCGCCTGATGTCAGCGTGTTACCATTGCTATCCTTAGCAGTAGCGGAGATGGTGTAGTCACGACCAGCTGACAAAACACCTGCAGCAAAACCAAGTGAAACAATGTAAAAATATTGACTGCTTTGGAGTGGTATAGTATGTAAATATTGACTGCTGTGAGTGGTACAGTACACAAATATTGCCTGCTTTGAGTGGATGAGTGTACAGATTTTGACTGCTTTGAGTTGAGTGGTTTATAATTTTTGATGGCTTTGAGTGGAATAGTACACAGATATTGCCCGTTTTGAGTGGTAAAGTGCAAGTACACGAATATTGCCTGTTTTGAGTGGTATAGTACACAAATATTGCCTGCCTTTGGTGGTATACTGCCTGCTTTGAGTGCTGTTGTACACAAATATTGACTGCTTTGAATAAGCCCACAAGGGTTTAAAAATATTTGAAATTTAACCCAAAATAAGATAGGCACATGCAACATGTATGAAAACAGACATAGACAAGGCCGTTCAGTAGCTATGGGTGAAACTCTTTGGTTACTGTATGTATAATTAGTTTTTGGCTGCGATTAGATTTATTTGGGTGAAATTTAAAGAAACAAATTACCGCCTGAGATTTTAATAACAATAATAATAACAACAGCTACTTATAAAGCTAAGATCTTAGAATGCGCTTTACATTATTTTTTACCTCTGATCATTGGGCCAATGAAACATTTCAAAGACAATCTCAGCTCCCTGGGGAGTATACAGCTTGGTGCTGCTATATCGACGCAAAGCAGCTAAAATCGACCACAATAACCATCTCTGCCCTCACAGGTACCCATTTACTCCTGGGTTGGGAGGAGCAATGATGATGTAGCACACCACGGTCCAGTGGTTACGGTGTTTGACTCATGGACAGTGGTGTGTGGGTTCGAACCCTGCCAGGAACATGGTGTTTGTGCCCTTGGGCAAGACACTTAACTACACTTGCCTCTCTCCCCCCAGGAGTATGAATGGGTACATGTGAGGGTAGAGGACCGAATGTGGGCTGATATCGACTGCAGCGTGGTCTCGTGGCCTGATGGAGGAGTGGTATATAACATTATAGAATGCCATAATAACAAAGGATAAATTTGAGTTGGAAACCCAATGATTTTACTGAGCCAGAATTTACCCAATAAAAAAATGGCGTCCTGACAACCCTGATAGATTGGCAGGCGCATAATCTTTGACACCGGATGGAAAAAAAAAAATCCTACCGTCTTTAAATTTTACTGACCTGCAGGGAGACTGAAGCTGGCCGTGACGGTGTCCGGCTTTTTGACGATACTCGTGGTGGCGCCCTGCACCGTTTCCCCCAGCACGCGCCACTCAACGCTCTCCACCAGCGCGGCTTTGCGGATCCCGGCGTTGACGACCACGCGCCTGGACGGCTTGAACATGCCCATGAAGGGTGCTCTCAGCTTCATCTAGGCACGATCACACACAAAAATTGTGTTATTTGAAAATGGTGGCTAAAGTTTAGGCCAGGGACGATTAAGGCCAATATAGCCGTGTCCGAATTACTTAATGACTATGGCTGCCACTTCCCATAGACCTGGGTGTTACTTTTAGACGTAGCCAAGTAATTTGGACGCAGCTCATATTAAGCCCCGTCATTTTTTTACTTCTTCCTTGTAAGGCCAAGTAAAATAATACACAAGCTTCGTGTCCCTGCCCGCTTCTTTTTTCCCCGCTTTTCTCCTTTTTCTTCTCCTTTTTTTTCTTAATTATACACTTCCGATAAATTTTGCCTGATGATAAATTTGTTCAAAATCCAGTAGAAAGGGAGACGGGTCCTGTGGACACAAAAGACTCAGCGACAGAGTTGAGAAAATGAAAGAATCCATCCATCACCGTGGAATTCAGCCATCTTTGAAAACAACAAAAAACGGGCTGCCTCCTCCCTTTTAATAAGGGAATAAATGTGTGCTCGAGAGGTTTTTATCACTCTGTTTAATACCGCTTAGAGTCTGGGTGCTGATAATTACCCGAGCCGAAGGCGAGGGTAATTATCAGCACCCAGACTCTAAGCGGTATTAAACAGAGTGATAAATACCGACCGAACACATATTTATTCCCATTCATAAATACCTTATCCGTAAAAAAATATCAAATAATTCGTTCAAAAAATCCCAATTTTGTTCAACAAGTTCACTTCATGCTTTTTGAAACATCCCTCTAGCAAAATAATGGAGTGTTCAGCTGGCGATTAAGATGTAAACAACCCTTTTATGGAGATTGACGCGCACGTAGCATGTTCTGCGCGATGTCACGCAGAACGCACCTGGGGCGTTGCGTTTTGAATTTAGAACTATAAAATTCTGACTCGCATGTAGTGTTGCGCATGCCTACGTGAGGATTGTGAACGTTCAACCAATGAAACGGTAAGAGGCACTGGATTTTTAGGAGTCCACATTTTGTTGTGACACTGGAAAAGTGTTTAAGACCAGCTAGCCATGTCTTTATCATCCGTTTAAGACCGGCCACGTGACGGGCTCTCGACCAATAGGAATAGCTAAACTGTCTGAGGTATTTATGAATAAAAAATAACAGTCCAGACGAGCAACTCGTGTTTTTTTTTATTACCTGTGGGGGATCCCCATTGTCAACCTCCACCATCACCCTTGCAGTGGCCTCCCCCTCACCCTGAGACCGACTCACGGTGACAACGAAGGTGTACGACCCGACGCTCAGGCTACTTGGGGTCACTTCCAGGACAGGCTTGTCCAGGGCAGAGGGTAGTCCAGTGCAGTCGGAACTTTCTCCGCCGTTCTGGTCAAAAGGGGAAGATACATATAAACACGAGTTAATCGGGGTTGGAAGTCGTGAAAGTGTCCCCATGTCCTCATAAGTAAATCGTAAGTCATCACAAGTCGATCACAAGTCATACATGTCATACATTACGTGAAACTCCCATTTGCCAAAACCCCTGAACTGTACCTACCGATTTCACTGTGACTCTTATCAGCTGTTATCAGTAAAGTAATTATAAGATAAACACTTACCCTGGCACCCACTTCCCCAGGGCCAGTGACCATGAGCTGGTGGTGTCAAATAACGGAAACCTTGAAGAGCATGGCTGAAGTCGGACTGTTTCTTATTTGATATCTCGAGATATATTTGATCGATTTTTATGATTCAAAGTTGCTCACATAATAACTTTTGACACTTTTCCAAATACTTTACATTATAAACAAGAACCTAGTAGACTTTGGTAGATATTTTTTTGTCAGTAAGCTCACAGGCAGAGGCACCATACACCACCTGTTCACGGCTCGTTAACTCTTGATCAGATAAGAGAGATCGCGTTGAAAGCTGCTGAATCTGAAATCGGTAGGTACGACCCGAGTTTGTCATAGGCAAACTCGGGTCTAGCTCAAATGGGAGATTCACGTAATGTAAGCCATCACAAGTCTTAATCTCAAGCATCAATCTCAAGCGAATCACATGTGAATCACAACTCACAAGTAATAACAAGTTAATCAAAAGTCAGTCACAAGTCAATCACAAGTTATTCACAAGTCAATCACAAGTCAATCACAAGTCAATCACAAGTCAATCACAAGTCAATCACAAGTCAATCACAAGTTATTCACAAGTCAATCACAAGTCAATCACAAGTCAATCACAAGTCAATCACAAGTCAATCACAAGTCATTCACAAGTCACTCACAAGTTAATCACAAGTCAAGTCATTCACAAGTCAATCACAAGGCAGTCACAAGTCAATCACAAGTCAAGTCATTCACAAGACATTCACAAGTCAATCACAAGTCAATCACAAGTCAGTTACAAGTCAATCCCAAGCCATCAACAGTCACCACCAGACATCCCAAGACAATAGCAAGTCAATTGCAAGTCATCACAAGTCAATCACAAGTCATTGCAAGTCAATCACAAGTCAATCACAAGTCAAGTACATGCCATTCACAAGTCAATCAATTGTCAATCACAAGTCATCACAAATCATCGCAAGTCAATCGTTAGTCACAAGTCAAGGAGGATCAAGACTGACCAGTGCTTCTTATTCTGCAAATCTTCGTAAAACTCTGCAAACAAATATCTGCAGACTTTTGATTCTATTTTGCTCCTTACCCCTGTGCAGGACCAGCTGTAGCTGAGTCTGGCCTCGTCGTTGTCCGGATCGTAAGACTCCGAGGCGTCCAGCGACAACTTCTCTGCAGCGTCTCGGCCGACGGTGACCTTGTTCCCGCCCTTGATGGATGCCACCAGGTCAGACCGCTGCACGGTGATGGTGATCGACGTGGTCGTGCGTACCAGCACCGTCTCCCCGTTGGGAGGGATAGCCACAGAGATGGTGATGGGTTGTCCAACTGTGCATGTGTAGTTAGAGAATTAATAATAATAATAAATAATAGTGGCATCTTATTAACCCTTTCATTACCACATTGTTTATTGACTTATTGGCTCTCCCTAGGACCAAATTGTTTGCTCAGTCATGCGGAAATCACTAGAGCGTGAAGAAAATGACCACTCACTGTTTTTAACCCAGATTTTCACTGCCAAGGAGTGATTTAAATCATAGGTGTTGTGTGTAAAGTTTGTTCCTCGAGCCTTACTCTTTTATGTGATGTAAAAATGAAGTCCATATGTGCAAATATAAGAAAGTTATGCCTTTTTGTTCATCTGGTTCCATTTATCAAACTGCAAGCCATTTCACCACATGACCAAATGGCACTCCATACCTCAATTTGTGCGTGGATACTTCTGAAGCACTTTTCTCATTTTTTTGTAATGGTAACACTATGAATAAACTACACGATAGGAAAACACTCTTTCAGCTGGTATACGGTTGATGTATGGGTGGCCAAACATATCAACATGCCGCCTTTCTGAAAGGTAGTAAATAATCTGTGTTGAGGGTGTTCTGTGTGTGGTTTCCTGGTCGACTAAAGTCACCCATGGGAACCAGCAGGGGGGTTCTTCTTGTCGACAAAAGTCGCCCATGGTAACGAAAGGGTTAAGCGCAACAGGTCCATCACTCAGTGACGCTCATGGCGCTAAACATTGAGTAATTATACAAACTACAAAATTATAAATGCTAAGTCCTGACACATATAAATTGCAAGGTACAAGCCGAAGAGGAGATTAGAGTGTGAACAGGTAGGTTTTGAGTTCTTGTTTGAAGGAGATCGAAGAGGGAGCTTGACGGATAGAGAGGGGTAGACTGTTCCAGAGAGTGGGGCCTGCGTGAGAGAAGCTGTGGTCACCCCAAGAGTGTCGGGATCTAGGAACTTGAAGAAGGGAGGAGTCTGATGATCTAAGCCTGCCAAGGGGGGGGGGGGGGGGGTATGCCTGTAATTAAACAGTGAGATTGGGCATAGCAAAAGCTAAAATTACTCATAAAATATGAAGCTAAATAATCTAGCACAATCACTGTCATGTGCAGAGTGCCAGCTTCAAAGCATACGTGAAGGCTACATTCTGCGGAGCCGGCATAGAATCAAGACAACTCACACTTCTATGTTTTATATTGTCCCAGCCACATGGTAGGCATGCCCGAGGTCATCTACGACTAGATCCTAGTTTGGACCTAGCCTTGGTCAATGCTCTCGTCGTTATTCGTCCCGTACGCGGTCAATCGTCGGCATATATCCTCACGCGCTATGCACATGCATGTAAAAATACAGCGGGAACAGCGACCTCATGCGGCCACTATTTTTTTATGCAAATCAGTTGGGGACGATCTCGAGCCTTGGTTCAATCGTCGGCAAAAGCTTATGTTTTTCTTTATTTTGCGCTGGATTTCTAGCGCACGACCTCGTATGCGAATATAGATAAGTGTAGGCGGGGCTAATATGTGGAGTGTCCAATCACACCTTGGTAAATCCGGACATCATCAAATTATTTGCAACTATTCGCCTTTTGCGGACGTGACAGGAACCACAGTTTTGTGCATTGGTGCCGTGTGCAGAGACACACAACGTGTACGTGTATGGATTATGTACGGTGCCATGTTTCACTATGCAAGTTTCAACGCAACGATCGACCAATAAGAAAATGACATTTAAGGTCATCTAAGGGTATAAACATAATGAGCACCACTCCCAAAACCTCACATGGACGATTGAACCAAGGCTCTCGATCGTCCCCAACCGATTTGCATATTAAAATAGTGGCCGCATGAGGTCGCTGTTCGCACTGTATTTTTACATGCTTGTGCATAGCACGTTAGGATATATGCCGACGATTAACCGCGTACGGGACGAATAACGACGAGAGCATTGACCAAGGCTAGTTTGGACCATGGTACATCCACCAGAGGAGGTGTCACTTGTCAGGCCCGGTAGTGGCTTGCTCAAAATTAGCGGGAAACCTACTGGGCTTGTGCACATTTACATAAACTTGTAGTACAGGGTAAAAGGTAGTAATTGATGATCCCCCCCGTCATTTATTTTTCCCACAAGACAAAATGGTAGGGGCTGTCAAAACAGGGTGGGTAAGGAAACAGGAAGCAGAGCTATTTTTGGGCGGGGGTGGGGGGTGGGGGGGGGGGGTTGGCCTTAAAGAAAATTAGAATCTCACAACAAACCCACAACAACAGGCAACTCTTCTGCACCATAGTTTTTTACCACGATTCCAAAACAACATTTTTAGAAACAGTAAGATCTGACCTGGTAGTTTGTGGGCCCAGAACCTCTGGTTCCTGCCGCCGCGATTGATGACATCAGGGACGATGCCAGGGATGTTCTGACCGTTCGCCCCAGTCACCGTCCAGATGAAGTCCACGCTTGACGATTCAATGCAGCTGCTGTAGAACTGGACGTCTGCCACCAAGACAACTCTGTTTTGATAAAACGAAAAACCAAAACAAAACAAAAATTTACGGAATCAAATTCAACAGTCAAATTAAGTTCAAATATTTCAGTAATTGTTTGAAGTCAGTTTCAAATTCCAGTAAGGAAATTATTTTTGATGTTGACGGGCAAATCAAGAGAGAATTCTTTTGGGGAAACCCACAGAACAGAGCGGGGACAGTGACCTCATTGTCAGTCACAATTTAATCACAAACTAATCACAAGCCAATCACAAGCCACTCACAAGTCAATCACAAGTAAATCGCAAGCCAATCACAAGTTCATAACAAATCAGGTCACAACTCAATCACAAGTCAATAACAAAACAATCACAAGTCATCCACAAGCCAATTACAAGTCAATAACAAAACAATCGCAAGTTAACCACAAGTCAATCACAAGCCAATCACAAGCCAATCACAAGTCAATCACAAGTCAATCACAAGTCAATCACAAGTCAATCACAGGTAAATCACAACTCAATAACGAAACAATCACAAGTCAACCACAAATCAAACACAAGTCAAACACAAGTAAATCACAAGTCAAACACAAGTCAATCACAAGTCAATCACAAATCAAACACAAATCAATCAAGAGTAAATCACAAGTCAAACACAAGTCAATCACAAGTAAATCACAAATCAATCACAAGTCAATCACAAGACAATCACAAGACAATCACAATTCAATCACAAGTCAATCACAGCCAACCACAAGACAATCACAATTCAATCACAAGTCAGTCACAAGTCAATCACAAGTCAATCACAAGTCAATCTTGAGTCAATCATGAGTCAATCACAAATCAATCACAAGTTCATAACAAATCAGGTCACAAGTCAATCACAAGTAAATCACAAATCAATCACAAGTCAATCACAATTAGTAAATCAATCACAAGTCAGGTCACAAGTAACACAGGATCAAGAACTTGTCAGTTGACCGGAGACTGGATGATTTGTGACTTGTGCTTGGTCCAAGACATGCCATGATTATGACTTAGCAAATTGCAACTCGCCTTTTCGATGCCAAGACGACATTGTTATCGCCCAGTCTGCGGTGCCGGATCTCCAAGCCTGGCTTCATGACTGCCTCCGGCAGTTTTCGCACCTTGTGCGTGGCAGTGTTTGGCATGGCCCTCCCCCCAGAGACAGTCAGCGTGACAGTGTACATAACGCCGACCGTCAACAGTTCGCCGGCCAGCTTCAAGTCCGAGTAGTTGTTATCTGTAAAAGACATGTTTATTTCAACGCCAATCAAGAGCTTGAAATTTGACATGAACGACTGAGAATATTTTTTCCCACCCTGGATGGGATGCCGGCCATCGCAGGTTGTTCCACAGCTATAGCCGGTACCCCAGGACACAACATACGGCCAGCAGCTGGATTCGAACCCCGACCTTCTTTTCAAAGTCACGAACTACTACGCCACACTCCCTAGGACTTTAGTGAAAAGACCTCGGGAAAGTACTTACCGTTGATTGTCTTGAGACGAGCAGACAATGCTTCAGAAGTGCCCTGGCTGCTAGTTATCGCCCATGTGTACGTAAGACTAGGACCCACGGATGCGCTACCACGGACAAGCAAACTCCCGCAGAAGGGTATCTCGTGGGGTCCACTGACGATGGCAACAACTGAAAAAAAGAAGAACAGCATAACACTTAACAGGTGGAACAGATTAATTCGTTACAAGTAATTATAAATTAGTAAGCAAGAAGTCTTAGGTTTGAGTCCAATCCATGCAAGCCAGCCATTTTGTTCTTTTCTCACAGGCTGTTGAAAAGACCGACGCCGAAAGTGCTCATTATATGAATTACATTACGGTGATGGAGGTCAAGATTTAAGTTACCTTTGGGAATTTCTACGGTTGGTCTTTCACCATCAGGGTCTGGTCTGTCACCATCTCCTGGGTCTTGTGTAGCATCAACAACGCCCGGAGTTTCACCATCTGGTCTTTCACCATCAGGGCCTGGTCTTCGAGTTTCCCTATCTCCTGGTTCTTGTGTAGCCTCAACAACGCCTGGAGTTTCACCGTCTGGTCTTTCACCATCAGGGCCTGGTCTTTGAGTTTCCCCATCTCCTGGTTCTTGTGTCGCTTTAACAACACCTGGAGTTTCACCATCTGGTCTTTCACCATCAGGGCCTGGTCTTCGAGTTTCCCCATCTCCTGGTTCTTGTGTCGCTTTAACAACGCCTGGAGTTTCACCGTCTGGTCTTTCACCATCAGGGCCTGGTCTTTGAGTTTCCCCATCTCCTGGTTCTTGTGTCGCTTTAACAACGCCTGGAGTTTCACCATCTGGTCTTTCACCATCGGGGCCTGGAGTTTCACCATCTACTGGTTCTCGTGTAGCATCAACGACGCCTGGAGTTTCCCCATCGGTGCCTGGTCTTTCACCGTCTCCTGGCTCTTGTGTAACATCACCTTTGCTCGGACTTCCATCACCATTATCTGGCTCCCGTGTCACGCCGCCTCCTTCGTTGGGTGTTTCACCATCTCCTCCATCCTCTGTCACACCATCTCCTCGATGTGGTCCTTCGCCATCACTGCTTTCGGTTGTAGCGACTACAAAAGGTCCAAAAAACATATCCACACACAATTGTTACAAAGTTGAATGGTTATTACTTCTGTGGCCCATTTCTGTATTTTAGAACTATCTTGAAACTTGCTGGATCAGTTGTGGAAACATATTAAATTGTAAAACCACTACATGCCATTTTCCCCTGACCCGTGTTAAGGGTGTTGTTATGATTTTATTATTATTATTTTTTTTTTTTGAGGGGGGGGGGGGGGGGGGGAGGGAGGCACAGTGAGACAGACACCGGTGGAGCGCTGTGTCTAATGGTTACAGTGTTTGACTCACATGCCGTGGTAACTGGGTTCGAACCCTGATGGGGAACATGGTACTTGTGTTCTTGGGCAAGACACTTTACTTCAATTGCCTCATTACCCAGGAGTATAAATGGGTACCTGCGAAGGTAGAGACTAGAATGCTCTGATCTCGAGCTGCTGCAAAAACTGGTCTCATGGCCTGATGAACAGGGGTAATAATTGTGAAGCGCTTTGAGACCTTTGGTATAAAGCACTACCGGTATGTACGCATCATAGCCTAGGCAGAACGATGTGAAAATAAAATATTCCCGTTTTTGAAAAAATTCCAATATTAATAGGCAGTGGATATTTTGCTGGAGACGGGAAACCTTTAGTAAACGTTAGTTTGCCGGATATGCACTGAACATGCCCAGTTACTGTTTTTTTGTATTCAAGCATTTTCCGGTGACAAATTTTAGTCTGGCTCCATGCCAATATTATTGTTGTAACCTCGTATTCACAAGATGGGATTCAGACCATTTTATAATTTCGGACTTTATTTCCCTTTAAAAAAAATCCTCCAGAGCCACAAATCTGAAAAAGAAAATGTCATACTTTGCAATAAAATGTTTGAGACATGTTAAAATAATAACAGAAGAATATTCTTATTTATTTGGGGATGGGAAAAAAAAACTTAAAAATGTGGAGCATGGAGGGGATCCGGAATCGAACCCGAGTCATCCCGCTCTCTAAAGCCTTTGCTTAACCACTACACCAAACGTGCTACACAACTTTTGGTGGGAATTTAATACATGTTATAATTCAGCCCTATTTTAAAGAGTACAGCGCCCTCTGTTGATATGGATTGCCGCCGGCAAACCTTTAGTAAACGTTAGTTTGCCGTCATACCTCCGGCAAAATATCCACTATCATATTAATATGGATTATTGTGATATACCAAAGCTACACAATGGGCCAGTAATTTGTTAAACATGCTACAGATACATTCACTGTGGTATTTTTCCAGTACCACCTCGATTTTTTTTTTCTTCAATAATTAATGGCGGGGTAGCCCCACTAGTGTGGCCGCCGGTATGCTGCGCTGAACCTCTGGTTCAGCGCAGCATACCGACGGCCACACTAGTGGGGCTAATGGCGGGGTAGCCCCATAAATGTGGCCTATTTACTGGACTGCCTCCGTAAACATAGGCCACACGTCCACATGTACACAAATCGTGTCAACTTTGCCAAATTTTGAATTTCACATTTAGGCTTAGTTTGTAGGATTTTTTTGCTTTAGAAGCATACTCACCTACTTTATAGGCTAATCAGAAAGTGCTGCCTTTTTCAGATGTATATTTTTCGTGAAATTTCAAGATTCATTTTTACACGTTTGCGTATCAAAATTTCAACATGAAATTTCACAAAAATTAGACATCTGAAAAAGGCAGCACTTTCTGACTAGCCTATAAAGTGGGTGAGTATGCTTCTAAAGCAAAAAAATCCTACAAACTAAGCCTAAATGTGAAAATCAAAATTTGGCAAAGTCGACACGATTTTTGTACATGTGGACGTGTGGCCTATGTTTACGGAGGCAGTCCAGTAAATAGGCCACATTTATGGGGCTAATGGCGGGGATGCTATTTCTAGACATCCACCTCCACTTTTGAATGAGACATTGCACTATGGTCATTGACTATATTGTTGATTTTCTACAACGAGGTGATGTCCCCTAACGTGGTACATACGTACCCAGCCTACGATCGATTATTAATTAAGAAAAGAAGGTGGTGATGCTAGAAAACATTGGATTGAGCACGCAAATCTCACGTTCAGTTTTATGCGCGCCGCCATTTGTAAAGGAGCGCCCTCAAGAGCGTTTATATATTGCATACGCCCTCTCTCGTCTGTGCCAACCCCAAAGTTTAAGCACATAAATTTCTTAGTTTTAACACGGGATGTCACTATGCACTGTGAGCAAAAAGCCCAAATTCCTCGCTAAGCAAGGGCGGATCCAGAACCAAATTTTTTGGGGACCAAAGCTAAGAGGCTTCGAGTGTTTCCCCCACCCCCCCCCCCAAAAAAAAATGGAATAAAAATGAAGGGGATTACTCCTTTTTGGAGGTCGCCTTCTTTAAAAAAAAAAAAAAAAAAAAAAAAATACATTTTAAACAGTGACATCATTTTGCCTCTTTGTCTGTTACATCTAGCCCATATGAAGCTGGGACGTAATTTCCTGAGTCCAAGTGGTGGCCATTCAAAAAAAAGCTGGCAGCCATCTTGAAAACTAGCCCGGTCGGGCGGCCATTTTGGACGAGAAAAAAAGGGCCTCGTCCTTCCTTTTTTTTCAAAAAGGCAGGACGCTAGTCATGTTTTTTTTTTAGGCAGTGCATATTTTGCCGGAGACGGCAAACCTTTAGTAAACGTTAGTTTGCCGGATATGCACTGAACATGCGCAGTTACTGTTTTTTGTACTTATTAACATTTTCCGGTGACAAGTTTTAGTCTGGCTCCATGCCAAAATTATCGTTGTTACCTCGTATTCACAAGATGGGATTCAGACCATTTTATAATTTCGGACTTTATTTCCCTTTTAAAAAAAATCCTCCAGAGCCACAAATCTGAAAAAGAAAATGTAATACACTGCAAAAATTGTTTGAGACATGTTAAAATAATAAAAGAAGAATATTCTTATTTATTTGGGGATGAGAAAAAAAACCTTAAAAATGTGGTGCGGTCGGAATCGAACGCGAGTCATCCCGCTTACCAAGGCCTTTGCTTAACCATTACACCAAACGTGCTACACAACTTTTAACGGGAATTTAATACAGGTTATAATTCAGCCCTATTTTAAAGAGTACAGCGCCCTCTGTTGATATGGATTGCCGCCGGCAAACCTTTAGTAATCGTTAGTTTGCCGTCATTACCTCCGGCAAAATATCCACTACCTTTTTTTTACTTTGCCTTAAGTAAGCCTAGGCCTAGTATCGTGCGCTATTTCCACATAATTGTATGCGTGCTGATGGCTTGCGGGAGGCGATGCGCAACGTTTTCATTCAACTTCCTTAACTTGAGACAAAAGGTGGCTTCACTCCGCCAAGTCGTGGGTGGGGACATGGCCCCCGTTTTCCCCCATCCCACCCCACCCACGGATCCGCCAATCTCATTAATTAAAGGGAATGCCACAACATTTGCTCTTGTTGCAATTTTCAGTAGTAAGTGGATTTGGAGGATTAGAATGTTATAGCAAATATTGTTAAACTGACTTGTTTCACGTTTTGGGCTTGAAGATGCTGGAAAAACCAAAAAAAAAAAAACCATCATGTTCTTGTAGTCTGGATCCCTGACCCCACTTAAGATGAAACGGAGCAGTTTGTCGACTTTGGGTAATTCTAAGGTCAGAGAATCAGTCCAGCAGGCTTGTACCCCTTCACAGGTGTGTAATCAATTGCAAAGAAAATGCGGAAATTATAAAAACTTAAGAGCAGTTTTTGAAAAAAAGCCAGTTTTCTCCAACGCTGGTCGGCCGTCCAGCGTTGGAAAAATACCAGTTTTCTTGAAAATGTCAGCACACCAGGTGCCACTTTTTTACAGGGTGCTTTAGAATGAATGTCATTCCCTATCAATCCAGTGAGATTATTCGTGACAATTTGACCATTTCGTTTTTTTGATGTTTGCAAAATGTTGTATCTTCCCTTTAACTCAGTCGTCAAATTATACTTACAGCAAGGCATTTACTGCTATAAACGTAAGCCAAGCCATGAAATCGGGCCCAGCAGGGCCCAACCGATATCCCAAATATGGTAATTTCTTAACCCTGGGCCGGCGACCCGACCGATCATCGATCCGAACATAAAGCCGAGCGGGTACAAGTGCACTAGGGAGCGACTATCGTGAAACAACTGGCCCGAGTTCTGGCAGTTTGTTCTTGACGCTTATCCGGTTCGTTAGTAAAAACGTCATACACGCGCGCACACCAATGAGTACTAGCGCCCATTGGCTGCAAACGCTCGAGCTGCGTTAACTTCCGGTTCCAATCGTGCAGAAAGTGCTGGAGGTGACGTCACACTAACGAACCGGATAGTTCTATCCGACGGATGTGTGGTGTGTGATCCTGTTCCGAGTGCAGTGTTCGTGTTCCCGCCGTTCGAGCGCGTGGCCTACTCGTGTCAAAAACAGATCTAGACCGCCCGAACTCGGCCCCAAAGTCGGTTTCGGGTCGGGTTTGGTGCACACAACATTAATACAGACTTGGCCCACGGCCGAGAATCAGCGCTCAACATTACTACCCAAAACCAGACAAGTTTTTTTTTTCATACAACATAAAAATATTTGTTTTCATTTAAAGCTGCTCTCCTCGTCCTTTTTTTTTTTTTATCAAACTGCATCCCCAAAATAAGTTTTATTTTAAAATAGCTAATTTTCTTGAAATAGGCTACAACAGTTGTTCACTACTGAATATTTAAAGGGAATGTACATCATTGGCTTTTGCTGTAATTTTCGGAAATGAACTATTTGAGGGGTTAGTATAATAGATCAAATATTGTTACACTGACATTTTTAAAGTTTTGTGTTCGAAAAGGTTGGAAAAACCAAGAAAAACAAAAAAGGTTCAATTAGTCTGGTTCCCTGACTCCACAAAAGATAAAATGGATCAATTTATAGATGATGAAAAATTGTAAGGCAAGGGAACCAGTCTTAGCTGGCCTGCATCCGTTCATGAACATGTAACCAATAGCAAACAAAATTTGGACTGAAAAAATAGTAAATTTGGAGCAGTAGTTGAAAAATAGTTAGGTTTTTCCAACGCTGGTCGGCCGACCACCGTTGGAAACGTGTACAAAAATACCATTTTCTCGAAAATGACTTCACACCAGGTGCCATAATTGTACAAGATGCTTGAGACTGTCATTTACCAACATCCTAGTAAGGTATTTTGTAAAAACTTGGTAGTTATATTTTTCGATGTTTGCAAATGTTGTATATTCCCTTTAATGAGACATGGAAAAAGAAAAGAAAAAATAACCCGTGGCCACGGTTGTTATTATGGGACATTCATAAATACCTCAGACAGTTTACCTATTCCTATTGGTCGAGAGCCCGTCACGTGGCCGGTATTAAACGGATGATAAAGACATAGCTAGCTGGTCTTAAACACTTTTCCAGTGTCACAATAAAATGTGGACTCCTAAAAATCCAGTGCCTCTTACCGTTTCATTGGTTGAACGTTCACAATCCTCACGTAGGCATCCGCAACACTACAAGCGAGTCAGAATTTTATAGTTCTAAATTCAAAACGCAACGCCCCAGGTGCGTTCTGCGTGACATCGCGCAGAACATGTTACGCGCGCGTCAATCTCCATAAAAGGGTTGTTTACATCTTACTCGCCAGCTAAACACTCTATTAATTTGCTAGAGGGATGTTTCAAAAAGCATGAAGTGAACTTGTTGAACAAAATCGGGATTTTTTGAACGAATTATTTGATATTTTTTACGGATAAGGTATTTATGAATGGGAATAAATATGTGCTCTGTCGGTATTTATCACTCTGTTTAATACCGCTTAGAGTCTGGGTGCTGATAATTACCCTCGCCTCCGGCTCGGGTAATTATCAGCACCCAGACTGTAAGCGGTATTAAACGAGTGATAAAAACCTCCGGAGCACACATTTATTCCCTTATTTAAATCAATATTAGGTTTTTGCCCTTCACACTGTTTACTCGGTGTGTTACCTCCCGAGTGAAAGTTGGAAAAATCACTCGGGTGGGACTCGAGCCCACGACCTCCTGCTTTCTAGTGCAGACGTCTTACCACTCGAGCAACGTTTCTCGAACTACTAGCCAACCAATCCCGCAAGCTCATTGCTCGAGTGGTAAGACATCTGCACTAGAAAGGAGGTCGTGGGTTCGAATCCCACCCGAGTGATTTTTCCAACTTTCACTCGGGAGGTAACACTCTCAGTATACAGTGTTATACGTCGGTGTAGGGCAAAAATTGATTTACATCATCCCGACGCATATACATCTTATAAATGGGACATTTTCTTTGTATATTTCGCATGATTTGCAGCCGGAAATATTTTATAAGGATTTCGTTGTGCATTGTAGGTGCAAAGCAACCAAAATAAAAGCGTATTTTCAGAGGCTTGAAAACGTCCAAGAAAGACATTTTCTTTGATTTTTTTTTTTAATAATACTTAAAGACAAATTGAAACTTAGTTAGGTAAAAAATGCGTCTGCGTTGATTTAATGCAGACGTATTTTTGGTGTGAATGAGGCATATCGCCGTAGAAATACTGAGCTGGCACGGCGTTGTCAGAAATTCTTTTCGTAGACTTGGGAAGTTTTACTTGACGAAATATTCCTTTTCTGTCCAGAACAAAACCTGAACATAACTCTTCCCGCCTGAAAAATGAGGCAATGAGGCAGGAGGCACCCAGATATTCAGAATGGTAATACAGGAGTATCGATCTCACGAAAAAGATGGCAAAATGTTTTGTTTTTTTTAGCCCAAGTTTTCCCCGTTTTTTCATTTGCATTTAAATTTGATGACACCGACTTTGTGGGAATAAGCCAGTTCTGTGTTGCAAACTAGTCTGGTGCACAGCAAGATTCGACGACACAAGGCTACGGGGAACGTGGTAACCAAATCTACATTCTGTGCAATTTTCGTACAATCGAAAAGAGATGGACTTTCGTTCGCACAAAAGTTTTGACACACAAGACACCTAAAAACAGTTCGCTGTCCAAAAGTTTTGTTATACTTTAGAACACGATGATCTCTTCAATTTTTCTGGTACCCCACTATGCTTTTGCACGCATACGATTGAATGTTTATCCCGAAAGAAAAAAATCGGCAAATTTTCTATATGTGCTCACATGCGCAATTGGAATAACGAACTGGCTTGTTGAACAAGACTTAATTGTGTATCAATGGGGGAAACCCATAGTTTAAAGTAAGAACCACTGTGTTAGAAATTCGTGTAATGGCTACCGGTACCTGGTACCGCAACAGGCGATTTGAAGTGATTGGGTTTTTTCCTAAGCAATACAAGTAAAATACTAGAAAACCGTTGAAGGCAAAGCGTAAGAGATGGAGAGAAGGTCTTGAAAAGCCGTTTCTAAAGGTTTGGAAATGACATTCTTTTACCGGTTCCGTCAGGTTTGAGCGAGTAGGTTGTTCCATCCCTACCTTCATCGTCAACACGATCGTCCGAAGGAGTCGTCCCGTCCTTCCTGATGCCGGGATCGTCTTTACCATTTTGATGATTCCGGTCGCCGCTTGGGGTTGTCGGCCCGGCGTGATCGGTGGGAGATTTAGGGTAGGTGATACCGGCATGGTTTCCATTCTCTTCGTCGTTCCGGACGGTTATCGGGGCTTCTGTCCGGCCGAAAGAGTTTCCATCTTGAGGGTACTGGCCACCACCACGGGTCACCGTTTCTTCGAGACCGGTACTATCAGTGCCGTCCCGTTGTTGGTCTTTCGGTGGGTAAGTGATGCCAACATTGCTACCGCCCCCTTCGTTCCGGTCGGTTATCGGGGCTTCTGTCCCGCCGAGAGAGTTTCCGTCTTGAGGGTACCGGCCACCATCACGGGTCACCGTTTCTTCGAGACCGGTACTATCTGTCCCGTCCTGCTGTTGGTCTTTCGGTGGGTAAGTGATGCCAATATTGCTACCGCCCCCTTCGTTCCGGTCGGTTATCGGGGCCTCTGTCTCGGCCAAAATCTCGGTGCCACCATTCACCCCATCCTCTCCGCGATTCGGTGGATGATGAGTGACACCGGCGTTGCTACCGTCGCCGTCATTCTGCGCGGTAACTTGAGGCATCGTCCCGTCCAAACTGTCGCCCTTGTCACCCCGGTGGACAGTTTCCTGGGTTGCTGTTTTGCCCACGCTGCTACCCTCTTTGTCATCTCGTTGCCCCTGGGTGGGGGAAGCCAGTGTCGAGTTTTGAAGCTTGGCATCCTTTGCGTCCGAAGCTTGGGTGCTGTTGTCAACTTTATCAATAGGCGATTGAGTAGAATGATCTCCGCTAGCATCTTTGTACGGATTGCCGTTCCCGCTTCCCCCAGGGATGGGGGTTGAAGTCTCACCGGTACCCTTGTCTCCCCCTGCCGTGTCTCCCCCACCGCTGGGTGCGACCGTGCCACCCCCGTCGTCGCCCCCGAACGGCGCCTGCTGGGTGACTCCCTGCCCGTCGGTTACCGTAGCCTTGCCGCTACCGTCGGGACCATCCTTGCCCGCGTCTCCAGTGCCTCCGACGGGGGAACTCGTACCGTTTCCCCGCCGACCGTCTCCGGCGTTGGCACTCCCGCGTCCCTCGCCGATTGCGTAGTCACCGTTCCTCCGAAATTCTGCTTCCCAGACACCGCACCGAGGTAGCTCACCCAAAAAATCCCGCACACCAAAAACACCCACCACCGCGGAGAGCGAAACATGGTTGCTTATCCGTTTGAAGCTTTCGATCAAGTGAATTAGCGAAGAACGTTTATAGCGTCTTTTGTACTCCCATGGTCGAGAAGAAAATCGAATCGACAGCCATCATACTTAACATCCAATGCTTATCGATTGGTTTCCCGCGATATCAAAACACCGATATATTCGAGGGTCACTTCGCTATTGTAGCAAAATGATATTTACAAAAAACCTTCCTTTTTTAGTTGAACGTTAACAAGTGAGCCGTTTTCATTAAAATAAACACTCAACTCATGGAAGTAATATCTAATGGACTTAAAGTCGATGTGTCCGGGCTTATAATTCAAGGTTAAAATTGGATTTTAGGTGGGTGCCAATCATCGACAGGTCTGCAGATTACGAAAGAGCAAAAAAACAAAACAATTTACTTGCGGATTTTGTAACTCATGCAAACGGCCCTAAGCTTTGTCGTTTGGCCTTCGTTTGGTTTATTATTGTCTTGCGACTTTTTATTCTGTTTCAGACAAAAAAGATGAGGTTTAATAGAGTGTGGAAGATAACCACGAACTATAGAGTTTAACACAAGGATGTTGTCTACTGAACAACTTACTTAAAGTTGGTATATACGTGCTTTTGGGATGGCACCTATTTTCAAATGGAATTTAAAATTTTCTAGCATTACACTAGTTCTAAGGAGACATCGTACACAAAAAATAGGCCCATGACAAGAATCAATTCGCTAATCTCTACTTTTGAATTACTGAAGAGCGGGACACTCCTAATTCGTTCTGAATAGTGTGCGCAATTTCTGAACTGGAGCGTGCCATTGAAAACCAATTTTTAACGGCCTGCAAAAAACAAACAAGCAAATGTATTTGTTACAGGACATTGTATTCCTTTACATTTCGTTCGGAAAAGAAAATCAAAATTCCGAAAAAGCACGTATACACCAACTTCAAGGCTTCATTCGTATATAAAAACCTGCAACAAAATTCAGATGATTCCTTTGATAATTTAAAATTGTATAGTTATATTCGTGTTTTGTTAGGCTGGAAATGTTGGGTGTGGCAAACTGAAAAATTTGTTTTTTTATTGAATTGCTGAGTCTTCATCAACATTGAACAAGTTTCGAGATTTCCAATGCGACACTGCATACATGTACATATAACAAGCTCGATCAGAATTATCTTGCGGTGTTTGTGCCACGTGATTTCCCCACTGAGAACGCGGCTACGCACACACGCTTACACAGGCACAGAAGTGGGGTACTTCCTTTGTTCTCGTGTACTAAAATTTTGCAATGTCGCACAAAATGCTCTTATTTTAACCAGAATTAATTTCCTGGGCTGAAATTCGGACTTAATATCCCTTTTCTAAAACTCTTCCATTTGCGACACATCAACCCACCTTGGAAATTCCTAGTTTTCGAATAAAATCCATATATCTATTTCGTGAAAAATTTGAGGGGTACAAAAACGGTACCCCGCAAGTCGGTGGGCATTCCTTGTGGGGTACCTCCCATTGTTCCGGTACCCCATAACGCAGTGTTTATACGTTCACTCTGTACAACTTTGTATAAGAGACATATTAAACAAAATAGGGTCCCCCAATGGGCCTTATGCACAAGTTGGCCATTGTTGTCGTGTTCCCTGAATGTATTTCATAAATTGTGAACTGCTGAATGGGATGGTGCCAGACTATTTATTCCCTATAGCCTCACTTTCGTTATTTATTTAAATGTGGCTTAAAACACCAGACTATGTTTAATCACAAAGTTTTAATTATTCATCAGAGCAGACTGGTATTAAATAATTTGTAACTGCATCGCTTTCATTTCTCCGCACAAGTTCCAAAAATAAAAATTTTACCTCACCCTCAATCCAATATGGCCGACTCGTGAATAAGGCCAATGCTTGTCGAAACGGGGCATTCTATTCCCAATACAATTTTTGGTGTCGAGTGTAGGTCTTGTATGAAAACATTTTGATTGACCGGGGACAAATCATATGTTTTACTTTTATGCCGGAGAAAAAATATTTACACATGTTCTGACGTCTTACCGCTTGAGAACGGCTAATCGTTTTTCCATATCGACATATCTTCAAGGAAGGTATATTGTTCAACCTTTAGACTAGGATTTGCTATGGGAAATGCTAGATAGAAGTCTGCTGGACCCGTATTTTCTTTAAATATTTTCTTGCTTTTTATCATTCCCCCATCTTTTTTATAAAATTTTTGATTTGAAAGAAATTGTACAATGATGTAATTGCCGCCCATTGTGCTTAAACTAACAACCCACATAGGGACCGACTGCATTTTTACCATCAGATTATGTTAATTGCAGAAACAGTAATATACTTTAAATTTCAACACAGCTTACACTGACTGCTTTAAAAATTGAATATAAAACTTGTTATACGTTTAGAATTAAGTCGTCGAATCCGTATTTATGTCTCTGTATTTTAGATTCTACTTTTATTTGTCAGTTTTGTTTCCGTGACTTAATTGTACAGTCGACTCTCGTTATTGCGAGCTCGGTTAGGACGAGATCCGGTTAGGACGAGCATATTTCATTGCAACTTTACAGGCTAAAGTAAGATTGCAGCCAAATAATATTTCAGCTAAACATTAAAAATCAGCATGTTAAATGGGACACAAAGGTATATTTTCAAGGATTGCATTTTAAAAAGTTACAATACAAGAGCCCTTTCAAAATCACACATTGGAGCAACAGATGGATTGACTTACCGGCTGGCATGATGTAAGCCATCAGTCGTCGGGACCGTTGCTCCAGGAATGCTTGAAGCTCCTCCATCGCCGGGCGAGCAGCTGCATTGACTTCTTGCATCAGCGTCTCTGCCTCGGTCTTCCAGCACACAGAGCAGTTCACGGGTACGGGGTTAAAGCGCGACGACCTGGTGCACTCCACCGTGACGTGAGCCGGCGTCTGCGCGTCGGTGGTGGACGACGGCCCAGACTGAGCCATCTTCTGCCACATTTCATCAACAGCTCGGAAAGCCATGCCCAAGTACTCTCTCATCTGGAGATGTCCGAACAGCTCCTCGAACAGAAACCTGGTTTCCTTGTCGATCATGGACATCTTTGGGTCCTCCATGCGGTGCCGGTCGGATGCAGAGAGCACCTCTTGGGCGAGAGTGTAGAGGTAGCTTTCGAGGTGGTCGGGGTAATCGGAGTGGAGATGTTCAAGGAGTTGTAGGGCGGGACTTTCAGAGATCTCGGCCAATTCGACTGAGTAAATCGCTTGCAAACGCTCTACCGTTTGAGGTTTGAGGAAAAACAGCGAGGCGGGTATCCCGAAATTGGCGACCAGACCGGCCGGGGGCATGACCGAGCCCCCTCCGGTTACCATTGAGGGATCCGACCTGGCAGCATCACCGTCAGTCATTATCGAATCGCTACTAGGAGTCGCCAGTTTCAAGACCTCCATCCAGGTGCTCGTTACTGAGTACATGACGTTATCGACCAGTGAAGAAGCCACGAAGACCTTGACCGGGTCGACGGACTGGTAGAGCAGCACGGTGTTGAACACATCAAGTAGAAGGGTTCTCTTCCGCATTGCCTCATGTGACTCGCGGATTGGCTGGGTACTCTGCGAGAGAATCTCGCTGAAGTTGCCTACTAGCCACTGGATGGGTTCACTGACCAATGTGTCCGCATGGGTAACCACCCTCCACTCGGGAGCGTATGTCGTAGTGGCGCACTGGGGTCCATGCTGCTGCGGTGGGTTCCCGTCCCCACCATCCACACCTGTTGTGGGGTTGGCCTCCAGATAGGCATCCACCTGTTCGGATATCTCCGCGGCTTTCATCTCCAAGGTGTCGTGGTACTGCGTTACGTAACTATCAACGGTACTAAAGACATGGGCGTACTGGTAGGACGCAATGGCAAGATCGGCACAAATGCTGCAAGTGTTTGATTGGGTCCTGAACGAGTATTTGCAGGTGTCAACCTCGAAGGGAGAGCTAGAGCCGTCCTCACCAGGATATTGACTTTGATCATCCCGAGCCATCATTTTCATCAGGCCTTCCAAATAGCCGGCCTGCAAATTCTTGATCTCCTTAAGGAAAGACCCCAAATCGGGACGGCCTTCGACATCCGCGTCGTGTCCCCCACTTGGCATTCGACCTTCCATATCGTAACCGAGAAGCATGTCAATGGCACCGACAACGAACGGGTCAAATTCAGAACTCTTGGTCGTATAAACATTATCTGCTGCATCATAGCTGGTGGTTTCATGGTACAGGATAACCGCAACAAGCGCTATCTTGTGAAAGGTCTGTGAGACACTGTCTTCGATGGGCTCTGAAGCAGTAAAGGTCGAGTGGGTGAGCTTCGCCTGCAATTCGGCAACGTGTTCAAACATCGCCAGCGTTTGGCTCAGGAAACGGTCGTAGGCCTCCACGCGGACCAACGTGTCCGACGACTGCTCGATGATCCCTCCCAGGAGTGCCTGGAGGTCCTGCCGGGATTGCTTGGCCGTTGAAACCCTCTCCGCCCAGCCGCGATCCCGGGTGAGGTTCATCGCTTGCTCCCTCAGAACCTCGGGGAGGATTCCCGCCACGTCTAGCTCCCAGTTGTTGCCCAGGAACGACGCGCTCCGGCAGGCACCAAGGTCAGAGGCGCTAAGGGCCGACAGGGAAATCGGTCGTGGAATCAGACCCGGACTCTCCGTGGTGTGATCGACATCTGACGTGCTGGCGTGAGTTGTAGGTGCTGGGTCGACTCCACCATTTGAATCTCGGATCGACTCCAGATATGCATGCACCACCTCTGACATCGTCTGTGCAGTCTGTTCTAAGACCTGATGGTATTGACTGATCATTATGTCATAGGTAGCAAAATTCTCGCCAAATTGTTGGGATGCTGAATCACTGTTCGTGCATAAGTTGCAAATGAATTGTTTCAGTTTCCTTTGCCTTTCACACGATTGGATGTCGAATGTTGAAAGGTCGCCTTGATATTGAGATTGACTGTACACCAACCAAGTGCTCGTTTGCAACACGTTTCCAGTGGCACCCTTTAGACTTTCTTTTACACCTTGAAGGTATTCAGCTATATCGGGAATCTTAAGATTATGATCTGGTGAAGGCAGAAAGATTGCTTCAAAGTGCTCAAGTATCTTCTCGATTGCGTTGAGGGTGAATGTGTCGAATTCTGAAGAAGAAGAAGAAGTAAAAGAACCGATACCAGACGTCGACGTGGGGTCATCAGTGACAAGCAGAGTGATCAGTGCGGCCTTCTGAAAGCTTCCAAAGATGTCATCGTCTGTGATTTCAATGGGTCGGCTTTGCACGCCCGCCGTAAGTGGTACAATCTGCGCCCTTAGATTTGCAGCATGCCTGTACAACGACACAGTTTGTTGGAGAAACCTGACATAAGCCTCAAGACGGAAAATCTTGACAGATGATCGTTGGATGATACCCGAGAGTAGACCCTGAAGCTCTTGTTGAGCCTCCTTTGCTTGTGCAACCGTAGCCGACCAGTCGTGTGTGAGGGTCAGATTTTCCAACTGCAGCTTCAGGTCTTCCGGGAAAATAATCTGACTGAAATCGGGCTGCCAAGTGTCTGGATCAAATCCCAGCGTTTTGCACTGCAGGTTACCGTCGGTTGAGGACTGAGAGAGAACCTCCATGGAAATCGGATTGGGGATGATCTGCATCACCGGAGATTCTGTGGTCGGGTGGCTTGTAGTAGTCGCTGACCCCATGCCGTTGTTTGCCTCCTCGGGGGCTGTAGTCGCGGGGTTTTTGTCTCCGATGGACTGGAGGTACTCTGCAAGTAGGAGGTCGGCACTGAGCATCAGGTCGTGGTAGGACTCTAGCTGTTCCATAATACCCCCTTCTGTCGCGAGAGCTTTGAAAACCTGGCTACCGCAGAAGAGACACTCTCCCGTGTCAGCGACGCACATGGTGGTGAAACCAGGCTCGCCTTTAAATGTGCCATTGAATGCCAACTTCTTGATTTCAGCGAAGGCCGAAATAGGAGATTGAATGGTATCGCTGAATTTCTGGCGAGCTGCAATCTCAGCCGACGAGTAATCGGTGCCATTGGTGCGGCCTGCAAAACCAACCCCATTCGCATCTGTAATCTGGAACGCGTCGTAAACCTGATTGGCTAGAAGGGCAAAAATCTTCGCCAGGTACAACTCAAAATTTGCCTCCCTCTGTGAGGGCTGAGCCTGCCAATTGCGGGTTTCTATTTGAAGTTGAGTGAGCAACTCCGCGCGGGGGTACATCAATAAACCATAGAACCCAAACTTCTCGAACTCCTGAGCCAGGTCGACCTGCTCAGCCTCGCCGAACATCGTGGTGTCGGCGGAGGCGCGAAAGGTCATCTTCATGCGGTTGAGTGTGGGTTTGATCTGCTGGAACAGGCGCTTGTAGACCCCGATCTTCATCAGGTCTGTCTTAGATGTCTCCACAGCGGCCCTTACTTGGTCGGTCCAGGAGACCTCCGACTTTTGGATGAGCTTCGTCCAGGCTTGCACCAGTTTCACCAACCAATCGGTCTCTGCAGTCGGGAACCCGGCTCCCTCGATAACCCGTGCCATGGTCTCTCCAACCCTTGTGGAACAATCATTGTCGCCTATCGGGAGCACGTTGGGTGTGCGAATATCCTGTGCCTGAACGGGCCAGAGAGATAGGCAACAACACCCCACTAGGACAACAAGACCAAGAGCCCATTGAGACGCCATGATCCAACCGCGCCCCTGGCGCTGGCGTCAAAGGAAATCGTACACCAAAACGAAGATTCGCCAAGGCCTATATCTCTATAAAGGTCTAAATATCGCGCCTATATTTTGTCTTACCTCTGTTTTCGGTGATTGTGTGATGTCCTCTCGCCCACTCCTCGACTCCTTTCCACCCCCTTTCCACCTCTAGCCTCCAAGCCAACACTCTCTCACCGACGATAGTCCAATAGTTTGCGTTTTCTCTCAAGAAAAAAAGTTAGGAAAAGTGGGCAAATCCAAGCGTCCAAATGTTATGTAAAGGTACAAACACACACTCCGGCGGGCGAAGACTAATATAGCGAGTCACACGTCGAGGCGCGAAACAAATCTGTGTAAGGCGCGATCGGCACTGCCTGCTTTATCGACATGTCGGCGAGAAGAAGGTCACGCCCAGTATTGCGACACGTGCTCACGATTGACCAATCGCATCAAGCTTTCTGACTACGCGGATAAAAAAAAATACGCCATCTTAACCAATCACCGTCGCGATGTGTGGTCTTGGCTAACGGCAGAAAACTTCTTGTGTGGAGGGGATGTTGCAATAAAGACGCTGAATAAGCGTGAACCAGATATACCTACCTATTTGTGGCGCACATTTTCCAACTGTATTGTGTCTGGCACTAGTTAGTCTTCCTTTGCAGCCGTTCTTTCCCACTCTCACAATTTTTTATTTTTCAATACATAATCTGAAGTGGGAATTCCAGTTGCTATAAAATACATTGGGTTTGTTGTTAAGTAAATTTAACTGGTAGTATTTAAGTGATATATATTTTTGTGTTTGAAAATGTGTTGGTGGGGGTCTGTTCTTTTTCATTTTGTCTTTAATTTTTCAACCAGCGTTTGAATTTTGGTACAAAATTATATACTTCTTGCTGTTTTTCCCCACAGCATTGCGTCTTGGTTGAGTTATAGGGCTCTTTTCATTTTGGAAATGGTTAAATGCTGTTTTTTGAGTTGTTTCTGGTTGTTGTTGTTGTTTGTTTGTTTGTATTTTTGGTCGTTTTTGTTGGTGGGCTTTTGGTTTTATTATTAATTTTTATTCTTTTTGCTTTCGGAAAAAGCGATTTATACCTAAAGGTCGGTTAATACTTCATTCGAATGCGATGCAAACCTGACGCTATGAAGCATTCGCTGCGAAATTCGCCGGAGTTGAAATGTGTTCAACATTTTCGAATTCCCAGCGCCAAAAGTTACCATGACGTCATAAATTCGCGTTCGCTTCCGCGCCGAGTATGAAACGGCCTTAACGGTGTTCTTTTCTTTTTGTGTTTTGATTTAATTAATTTTTTTTCGGACCGTTGTTTTGCTACACTGAAAAAATTGCCTGGGTTAATTTTACCAAAGAAAGGGTGAAAATGGAAATACCCAAACTTGGGTTGTTCTATAACCAATTGTTTGGGTTAGAATTTCTGCTAAATGTAACCAAAACTTGTGGTCATTAAAGACCAAATTTAATTTGGTCTTCCGTATGACTACAAGTTTTGGTTGAATTTAGCAAAAATTACAACCCAAACAATCGGTTATAGAACAACCCAAGTTTGGGTAGTTCCAGTTTTCACCCTTTCTTTGGTAAAATTAACCCAGGCAATTTTTCAGTGTAGACAGATACAACAACTGTCGCAACCATCTCCATGAAAAGAGAAACTGTGCCTGAAATTTATGCCGATCTGGACTTGTCATTTAGCCACTCTTCAGCCAGGTTCCATAATTACCGATATACCAAAAAAATGAAGCAATGAAGCTTAATGATAACAGGCACTTGATGTTAACTCTAATTCTTCATAGGCGTAGACACGGGCATGTAGTCAAGTGGTTTATTTTTTTAGAAGTAGCAGCAGCGATCAATATGTTTTATAACGGCAAGTTGTTTTTTTACGGGAAATAGCGTGGGTTGATGAAAAACTGGCACTGCACGCATTTACGTCGTGCTCTTACTTAATGACAAGGTATTTACATACATAGGCCATTTCATTTTCATGCATTTTGTTCGTTTCCAATCATAACACATCGAAATCCAAAGAAGAATGTTCAAAACCTAACCTGTTGTTGTTTCATCTCAGTGGATATTACATTTTTTTGAGAAAACAGTGAAAACTATGCACAGGTTTTTTGATGACGAAATACCATTTCGTCAATAGCTCTCTTTAATATTTCCAAACTTCAGTCAATTGACTGATAATAATAATAATAATAAAAATAATAATAATGATAATAATCGGCATTTAAGAACGCTCTTATTAGTAAACTAAATCACAGCGCTTACAGTATTATCATTACCCCTGATAATTGGGCCAATTAAACATTCCAAATACCATCTCAGCTCCCTGGGGAGTATACAGCTCGATGCAGCCTATTAGGCGCAAGCAAGCTAATTCAATCACATAACCATCTCTGCCCTCACAGGTACCCATTTACTCCTGGGTGGAGAGAAGCAATGAGTGACAAAGTGCCTTGCCCAAGGGCACACGCACCATAACCCCAGGCTGGACTCGAAGCCACAACCTGCAGAATTACCTGCAGACCACGAATTCAATCCCTTAACCACGAGGCCACGACACTCCACTGATCGTTGGAAAGCACTTATACATGTCCTGATTTCTTCTAAGTGACAGCTAGACCGACTTTTAATAATTTAGTACCAGTACTATCTTTAATCCAAATTAGCTTTTTGTTGGATAAACATTCGGAGGGTTAATTTTTGGGATAAATGCAAAATTATGCTCCTATGGGCTCCGTGCACAAGTACCCCATCAACGGCCAGAAAAGGAGAGTTTGGGGTGACCTAGACTGGGTCCCGATCCATCAACTGCGTATTTCGAATGTATCCAAAGTTATTGGAGGCGGGGATTAGTCTCGGGGACCATCTCAAGTTGAATTCGAACATATTCGCGCGCCGTCGACGCGCTCATGCGAAGACTCGGTGGCTATAGCTTTTGCACATTCAGGAAGTCGTGCGTACTTCGCGGGCTAACCAGTACAGTACAGTACGCGCACGCTGTGTGTCCCGTCCACAGAGCTCTCAAAAGAGGTAAAAACGCGCCCTCTTTTGCTGGCGCACGGAGACCTTTGCCTTTGATGATTGTACATGGTGGTGCCAAAAAACCCCAGAAGGAAACCCACTTTTTACAGAAAAGTAAACCAACTTATACCTAACTTATTTGAACTGTTATTGTTTTTTACAATGTAGTGAAGTATAGCTCTTCAACCAGACATGGTGAAAAAAATGTTTAAAAAAAATAGCAAGACTAGTGTTATTATGCAAATTTGAACGCAAGTCACCAAAACCATTGTTGTCCACGTGTAAGTTTATGTAAATCGGATGTAGAGTTATTTATTTTTCAAATCAAGCTCCGGAGCTCAGTCAAGCGGATGGAATAAAGCCGTCCGTGGACAAACAGGTTTGGCACATGAAATGTTTACTACCACATCTCAGAGACGAAATATGCATTTGCAATCATTTTTTGGTCACTTCTGCTTAAAGATCAATATTTTAATACTATTTAATTGATTTTTATTTACATATTCTCAACAAGTAGGTGAAAATTGCCGTCAAATGTGGGTTTCCTTCCTTTTGCGCCACCCTGTATATGCACTTGAAAACTTCATTACTTCACACGCCGCAGAAAACGCACACACGGACGAGTGATTTTAATTTTCAAGAGCAGCAACGGCGATCAACATTTCATAATGGCAACTTTTTTGGCAGAAACAGCGTGGGCTGATGATGAAGAAGATGCACTGCACGCAGTGCATTACTCGAGCGTGATGACAGTTAATTGAATCGCCTTGGGGCCGATGGTTTCTTGCTGTTTCGCCTCTTCAATCATCAAAAACAAAACTACCTTACTTGACTGTCAGTGAATAAAAGTTTAAAGCATCCTGTGAAATCATGGCACCTGGTGTGCTGTCATTTTCAAGGAAAGTGGAATTGTTGTATAATTGTTTTCTCCAACCATCGTTGGTGAAAAACTGTTTTGCTGTCTTCAAATAATGCCCCTGATGTACCAAATGTAGCGAGTTCACATTTGTTTGCAATCTTTTTCTCCCCAGCATCTATGAACACAAATATTGTAAAACAGATCAAGGTGACTTGCTATAAAATACTAATCCCAAAATCCATCCATTTCTGAAAATTACAGCACAAGCAAATTTATATTAAGTACCTTTAAAGGCAATAATGGGATCAGTTGCATTTTTTTCCCAAATTAATCTTACTATCACAAAGCTTACTTGGATTAAAGACTTACTGATGCTAAACACCAGTATATGTTTGATGTAAAAGGGGAGGGGGGGTTCAGTGAAAACATACCGAAGGCACGCCCTGCTAGGGGGGTACGGGAAAATCCCCGGGAAAAATTGAAATCTATCATGCTTTCTCGTGCATTCTAAGGCAATTTGAGAATACATTTAGGAACTTTAGCATTCCATTTTTTTTCATTTTTTTTTTTTTTTTTATAGTTTTGGGCTCCGTTTTACTAGTATCATATCATAAATCAGTGGCTGTGGGGGGGGGGTGTAACCCCAACACCTCTAGAACCGCTACTGCTGCCTCATAAATAAAAACATCGTTTAAAGTCATCCTGTATGATACATGGGAAATTTCGAAGTTCTGAGGTCAAAGGGACTGACAAAATGTCTCACTTTCGATACTAAAATTATTGATTGATCTTTAAGCAGTGTTTACATCTCTCCGTCCACCAAACAATGAAACCAACGCAGCGTAAGAACTTGAAGAGCTTGCATTTCGTCGGTAAAACTGAGGGTAGTTGGTAACCAAGGTGATGCGTACGTGGCGCAGCGTAGGCGGGGGGCAGGGGTTGGTTCTGGATTGAAAAACGCCTGACAAAGGCCAAATTTAAAACCAATGTATGGAGAAAGAAAAACAGAAAACCAAAGCCAGTATTGTAAAGTGAAATGATCGTAAGAGACTGTTGAAAAGGGGGATTACAACGCGGCTTTCACTCATTACGCCTATAAGCCTTTCTATGGTTGGCACTTTTTGCCAACCAAGGGTTGGCAAAATATGGATGGTCGACGTTGCAAAAATTGTTCAACGTCCACAACTTGAATGTGTATGTGTGTATCATGGGCGTCGCCAGGATTTTTTTCTAGAGGGGGGCAAACATATTTTTTTTGGCCAAAAATGCTTGCATTTCTCAACATATTCTCGATTTATCAGTTTTAGAGGGGGCAGGGACATG